AACTGCTGGAGTCTTGGGACTGCAGAGAAGGTTGAGTTACTGTGAGATCTGTGCAGCCACATGCTTTAGATTAAGAGGTGATAATCTGAATGAAAATCCCCCCTTCTATCACGCATACGGATGGCTAAGGGCAGGGGCGCAAACTCAAGAGGTGCAACTGGATTCAGAGGTATCTCACTTGGAGCAAGATGGCCTGGAAAGTAAGGCTAGTCTGGTTTCAATAAAAGGCAAGTACCTGCTGGGCCACAGACAGTGGGAGTGAGCAAGGGAAAAAACTTTCAAAGCTTGAGAGTGCAAGAGGCTTTATGTTACCCCTCAATACATGAAAACCTTCAATAATTTCCTCCAGAAATATGTCAATGAAAATATTAATTTTTGGTTTGTGAAATCCAATAACACCTAAAACTTATAAGAAATAGAATAAAGACTTGATCACATTATTTAATTACAGACCGCCAACATGTCTAACGATAAGATCGATCCATATCTGTAATTTCTTTCTGGTACCACTAAGAAATGATTACAGGGGCTTGTCAATAAGCTACAGGCAGTGTGTCCAGGACAGGCTCTGATGATAACTGGAGTCACCTATCTATCATGGTCCCTCCTGCACACAGCCTCCCACTCTGCCGCATCCATGTAGTGAGAGAAAGCACTGACGTGCGACGGTTTGCCCCCATAATGTCTGGTCTTATGCAGTTCTGACTCGAGCAGAGATGAGTGTAAACGCCTTCGTGTTCCTTATCTGATCCATGCAGCATGATCTTTTTGAAGTCCTCTTCAAAGCATGCACTGTACCTCAGGAGACGGAGTGCCGTGCAGTGATGAGAGCGTGGATGAAATATCTCTTCATTGATAATCACGGTGTGTATCAGAAATGTATCAATAAATACAATACATGAATGCTGCATGAGACTTAACATAAAAGAGACAAGCTTAACACTCTTCATTTTTAGAATAGGACGTTTATTTATTTTTTTACATTCGAACAAGGTATTTTATGTTGTTGATATGATGATCTTGATGTTAAATAAAAATGTGTAGTAATTATAAAGTAAATCTGGGTGTAGAAAGCCAATGATCATTTTTCTCTTCAATACAGTAATCAATTTTAAATACTGACATTTAAAAAATTAAATACAACAATATCTCAATGTAAGCATTTTAATTAAAAAAGCTAATTAAGTAAAAAAAAAATGTACATATAGATCATAACAATAATTTGATCTAATTGTTATTCGTTCAAAATCTCTGAATTACATAACTGAAAAAATCAGATATTCCTGATATTACAGGCTGTTCATGCAAAGCAGAGGAGCTACACGAATGTGTCCTGCACGCTCAAACAAAAGCTCAAGTGTCCAAATAGAAAATAATCTTCTGCATCACGGCCGTAATAATTTACGCTTGGCATATAGCAGCATTGCTAATTACAAATATTGCGACAGCTTTTCCACCTCAAACTAAAAGGCTGCTACCTTACAGAGAGTTCAACTCATTTAACTAACCCGGGAGCTCCAATAAACGAATCCGGATTTGTTATTGTAATATATGTGCTTACAACAACTGCAAATAATTGCCACACCTCATTAAAAAATATAATTGTATTTTGTTACAAAAACTCTCCCGAAATTAATCCATACGGTTCTGAATTCATCGAATGTGCATTATAAAAGAAAAATGTTCTAGTCCACCAGAGGAAATAAAACTTTCAATATGTTAATAATTAGCCTACATGGATTCTTAATCGACGGTAAACGTACATTGTTGATTTATAATTCATCTGAAGTTTAAAATTCAATATAGTATATTAAAAAAGGCTGCAGATAGAGTCCAAGAAAAAGCAACGTTACGCCGAAAAGAAATGCTGTTTTTTTTTTCTTCAGTCCAAATGCGTAGGTGTACTTCCGCTCCTCGATGTACTACTACTACCTGTACTTTTTACTTGTATATAACAGCCAGGGATGAATTTGTTTTCGATAAACTGGGAAGCGGTGACGCATCAGACAGCGATTGGACACCTTGGTTTCAACTCCTCCCTTATAATAAAGAGTGTGTGTGTGTGTCTCTGTTGTAAAACACAGCAACACCGGGCGGCTGCGTCAGGAGAGCACATTCCACGCTGCACAATTACGCGGACTTCTAACTGGCACAGTGATCAGATAAAAACTAAAAGGCTACTGAACCTCACAAGGCTGAAATGGACTTTTAATCGGTTCGCCCTGATTAAGGACTTCGTTCGAGCACTTTAATACAGTTTACGGTACAACAGCTTTGAATGTTATGATCTGATTTTTACGCATGTGCTCTGAGCACAGACTTGAATAGTTGTCTTATAAATAGACATTTTTTTTTCTTTTTAAATAGCTTTCTTTCTTCTCTAAAATTGGCTCCCGTACAAACAGCCGCGTTGGATCCCTCGGCTTATTGCGAGACTCCGGTGTACAACCCGGATCTCTGCCCTAATATGATAGCCGCCCAGGCAAAACTGGTGTATCACCTCAACAAATATTACAACGAGAAATGTCAGTCTCGAAAAGCCGCCATCTCCAAGACCATCCGGGAGGTGTGCAAGGTTGTATCGGATGTCCTGAAGGAGGTCGAAGTGCAGGAGCCCCGCTTCATCAGCTCTCTCAGCGAGATGGATAATCGTTTCGAGGGACTGGAGGTCATTTCACCCACCGAGTTCGAGGTTGTGCTCTATCTGAATCAGATGGGAGTATTCAACTTTGTGGATGACGGGTCTCTCCCGGGCTGCGCCGTGCTCAAGCTCAGTGACGGCCGCAAAAGAAGCATGTCTCTCTGGGTTGAATTCATCACAGCCTCCGGTTACCTCTCGGCGCGCAAGATTCGCTCGAGATTTCAGACATTAGTGGCACAGGCAGTGGATAAATGCAGCTACAGAGATGTTGTCAAAATGGTCGCTGACACAAGTGAGGTGAAGTTGCGCATTAGAGACAGATATGTGGTGCAAATCACGCCGGCTTTCAAGTGCACTGGGATCTGGCCACGCAGCGCTGCGCACTGGCCTCTCCCTCACATCCCCTGGCCGGGACCTAACCGAGTGGCTGAAGTCAAAGCGGAAGGTTTCAATCTTTTATCCAAAGAGTGCTACTCCCTGAACGGCAAGCAGAGCTCAGCAGAGAGCGACGCCTGGGTCTTGCAGTTCGCCGAGGCCGAGAATCGGCTCCTGCTTGGCGGATGCAGAAAAAAATGCTTGTCAGTCCTCAAAGCCTTACGCGACCGGCACCTCGAACTGCCCGGTCAGCCCCTGAACAACTACCACATGAAAACTTTGGTTTCCTACGAGTGTGAGAAGCATCCCAGGGAGTCAGACTGGGATGAGAACTGCCTCGGAGACCGGCTGAACGGGATACTATTGCAGCTTATTTCATGTTTGCAGTGCAGAAGGTGCCCGCATTATTTCCTTCCAAATTTAGACCTGTTTCAAGGAAAACCTCACTCTGCTCTAGAGAACGCAGCCAAACAGACTTGGCGACTGGCAAGAGAAATACTGACCAACCCCAAAAGCTTGGAGAAACTCTGAGGTAAAATATGTTCACATTTGTGGTAATGAGGCCTAACGAGCTCATAAACGGACAAAGAGATATTGCCAAACAATTTTCAAAATCTGGTGAAATGTGACTGTCCTCCGTTGTTGAATACATTTTGGCCTAGCCTGTTTTAAGATGATTTTGAATACAGAGAGTTCAGCTTGCCATTACCCCCGTGCGCCATTTGACGGTGAAATTCAGGAAAAAAATATATAAATTATTGGCCCCCATTAATCCAGGAGGCCACATCTCTCCGTGCCACTAAATCCCCTTTCTTAAATGCTTCAAAATAAAGCCCGGTACACTAACTTAAAAAAAAAAAACACACACATCTGTACATTTTATACTGTAAATACATTCATAGATTGTGATTCAAGTGGTCTGAAATTGTGAATGTTGTTCTGTGACACGTAGGATCCACCTGTTTAAATCTACTTCTGAACTTTTTCTTTATCTGGTAGAAACGTTTTAATTTATACTTGCATCCGTGGTATGATTCATCTGTTTCAATGGACTTTGTCTCATTTTTGAACGTTTACATTTGATGGTAAAGGCTACACGACATTTGAAAACATTCCATCAAATTACTTGAATTTTTATTTAAAGAACTCAAACATTTTTTGGGTTGTTGTTTCTTTACCATGTTTAGGCCTACATGATAAAAACGTGAAAATAACCTATATATAGTATATATATTACAGTTTAAATGAAAAAAAAAATGCACTTGAAATACACTGGATTATAACATCTGTGATCTGATTTTTTTTATTTCTGTCTTTGATCTAATTTAAAGAGCTAATAAAACGAGCTGTTTTATATTTGTGTCCCATTATGCTTTTATTAAATGTGTTTTTGACAGAAGTGAGGAAGGCCTAATGCCATGCAATAGTCATATAATGAACTATTTAATTGCAGGGTCTTTATGTAGTCTAGAACAGTCAGACGCTAAGAGAAAAAGCAAAATGGGGATTAATGTGAGGATATTTCTATAGATTGCATTTAAAACGGATCTGCAACAAAGCCGTTATTTTTAATGATCTGAAACCGCATTTACCTGTAGCCTCTGTGTTTTAGGCGATGGAGACGATTTTACTTGGCATAAGATTGTGGATGAATTATCATTTCTGCTTGATGGACGAGTGGGCGTTCATTGCATTTTTTTAATGTAGTAAATTAAAACACAAGAGTAGCAAACATGAATTTAAAAAAGTTGTGTGCTTTATAAGGCTTTAAATACCACCAAAAAAGAGTAAAACAAGCGAAGCGCTCGTCTCAAAACAATAAATTACGATCTTTTTCTTTCAACAATTGCGTATGCCATTTAAATGTAGCCTAATGATCAAGATACAGTGTTTGAAAAAAAAAAAAAAACGACAAACAAAGACATGTCAGAAGCCAACCTTTTGCTTTGAACTCGGGCTGCACACTTGCGTGCAGGTTACTTACCTTTGAGTCGACCCTTTTGAAGGCAGGGTCATCCTCGTCCACCTCGAAGTAGATCTCTGTGGTTGTGATGGACAGAGTGCCGCGTGCCACCAGGACCGGGGCCACAAGCTGGGCCGGGCTGCTTAGGACCACTGGGCCTGCAAAGTGCAGAGAGGGGGGGGGGGGAGGTCATAAATGCTCAGTAACATGCAAAAAGATCACATTTATTTTGAAGACAACGAGACTAAGGCGCGTTCTGTGAAACGATCGATGTGATTAAGAGGCCTGCTTGCGTCAAACTATACTCCGTATAGCCTATTATAACTAAACTGCATGCACTCACACAAGTTCATTATAATCAGAGAATTAAAAATGTCTTCTACAAGCAGTCAAATATTAGTTTGGCGGCCATGTGAAGGCTCATTTTATGAATTGATCGCACCTCAAAGAAAAGAGGGCTAAACTGCTTTGTGTCAGTTGGTTCGCACGTGTCAATATAAGCATTATAAGTCCATCAGAAATATTAATGGAGATGAGTGACATTACCACATTTTGTGAGTAAGTGAGTTTGTACCTGCTTGGAAACCAGAAATGCGCAGATAAAAACACGTTTTTATTTACTGATCTGACTGGATCATTACGTAAACGTATTACGTCAAGTAAAAAGGGGTTATTATGAGGTTCAATAACATACTTTTTTTTCTTCAAGAAGCCATATCAACATAGTTCATGGAAAGAACATGTGTAATATGTGATTTTAAATAATCAATGCGTCCTTAAAAGGACAGTTAAAAATACACAAATAAAAAAAACACTTAAAAAAAATACACACGTGAAACAATCAAGCTACATTTTTTTTCTCAAGTCCAATTGCGCAGAATTTGTAGGTGGATTTGTGACTCTGCCAGCTGATAGAGATCACATCTTTATTTCAGTCTCCTCCTCCCTCCTTCTCTTCCTCTATTCATCCTCCATGTTCTCAGATCAGTGTCGCTGTGGAGCACCGTTACTCTCATTTGTCTGCTGCTCTCGAACCAAAGCTCTCCAAATCAGGATATTTATCGATCCCTTAAACTCCAAAGAGCCACTTTAAGGTCTCATCAATCTTAATCTGCGTTCCTGAGCCAATTATGGCCGATAGTGTTACAGGAATACAAGTGGATTTCGGTCTCAACTCCCAGAGCGCCCCTTCATCGCTCTTGCAGGCTGCACAGTCAAAGCGCCTCCCCGGATCTTTTCTCTGCGCTGCTCGGCTCCATTAACGGAGATCCTATCTGCTGATGCTATCAGCACACAGGCTACACGTTGTTTACATGCTTCATATGAAGAGTAAACACTCGCAGTAACCTTAGCCTGTTTTACTGCATCTTAGATAACGTTTAGTGGATTCATTCATTAAAACATTAACACTATTCAATTTCATAAGGAAGTGAAAATATGGAAAATCAGGATTGTTTTTAATATGTATGCCAGTTGACCTTTGGGCAATATATCAGCAACAAAGAAGAAATTGTTTGTATTTATAGTCCAAGCCTATTCCACTCTCACTAAAATCAACACTTTTAGGGCTCATGCATTGTACTTGAGGGTTACACAGGGAGAAAGACACAATGCCTGCAGCATTAAGCCACAGCATCCATTGCTCATGGGGAGGAAGAGGATTAGGCTGTAATCCCCTCAGGGATGCTTCCATAATTAGGCTATATGGCATTAAAATGTTTACAGGAGAATAATGAAATTAAGGGCAGGTTACACAGGATGAGTGGTGTATATGCAGTCTAAAGCTTAGAATAACCAAGTAAATAAGTCTCATTCTAGTGGGAGTTAGGGAGAAGTGCTAAGATGGGCATTTTATACTCGCTATTATTATTATCAGCTGGACTGTGGTGTTTGATGAGGTCTAGTGTTTTTATGCCCTTTATCAGGAGAAGACAAATACAAGTGGTAGTGGGTCACTTACACACCTGATCACTATTATTCACTTGCAAGCCCGTGTATTGACTTAGTTACACACAAGTACACACACATGCTAAGCTGCAGCCGTAACATTTGTATGCTGAGCCTCTGAGCCTCAGTGCCTCGTTGTTCATTTGAGTCATTAAAGGAATCCCAATGTATTCCACCTTTTAAAGAGCTTGGATTTATCTTTTGTTATTTCACTTTAACACGGCCTGGATTGCAAATTACATAATTTATTTAAGAAGGCCTTTGCACTGAGAAAACCTAAATGTTAAATATCAATAATGCAATTTCCCAGGGATTTGTTGGAGTTATTTCTCTACTATTTTAATTATATAATGAGTTTAAATCAAGGGAGAAATTGTAAACTTTTGAAAAAAAACCCCAAAAAACAAGGAAACATTTTAACATAAAAAACAGAGCCACTCATCTTCCTCTCATTTTCTATCTTGGATGACACATCCAGGCATGTTGTGCTGGTTTGACTCTTTTCTAAACATGTCCCCACTCAGCCGGGGATCAGTGTTGTGAGTGGGGACTAAAGTAGAATCACAAAGGCTATTTTAAGGCAAAACTAAACGGTTGTGCCTGCTAAACCACACTGTGGGACAAACTAACCTAGTTGCTGTGTGCCAGCCGAACAGTCAAAATCTATAGACTCTGTCGTGACATGTGAAAGGCTTGTTGAGGCTCTGGCTCCTCTGTTTCCCTCTCACATGCTCATCTCATGTTGTCTCCATTTTGGTTTCAATACGTGCTTAAGAAAGGCTAATTTAATGCCGGTGCAAGCAAAGACAGCATTTCAAATGTCTGTGGGGGAGCAAAACTGATCATAGGTTCTGTAACCACAACTCCCTGGGCCTTTGAGTGCAGGCGCCGCCCCTTTGGCAGCCGGCACTGACCCAACGGCTGGCAGGAGGAGCACAGTTGTTGACAAGGAGATGGTCCCAGATCTCTCATTAGGGCTGTTCATGCCTGAGATTAGATACTGGCCGAACACAGACAGTGCATACTGGTGAAAACATTAGCCTAGTGTTGTGAGTGAGGGAGCTCCCCTACTGGCAAATACATGAACTCAGTTTTGACTTTACATAAAGAAAAACTCTACAATCTCTACACTTAAAAAAAAAATGTTTGTTTTTTTTAAATCAATGCCTTCTTTCAAAGTTTGGTTTATAATTTCAAACATGTTAGCATAAATGTATCCACATATCTGAGCATTTTTGTTATTAGTTCTCTCAGGAGAATACATTCCGATTGTTTCAGACCGCTCCATTCCCTTTTGATCGTACAGCGTGTGGTTCATCTGACAGACATGAGTGTTTGGCTGCCTGCTGGCCTCAGGACAAAGAGGAGGGGTTATCCTCCTCCTCTGAGATTCATCTGTGGGACTGTAGAGGGGATTTCACCACTCATGCTCCAAACTATGAAAACTAGTGAATACACACAGGGCTATAAAAATGTACTTTTGATTTAAGTGGCACTTTGGTTCCAATACGCATATGCACAAACAATTGCTAGTGTGAGCATAAAGTGCAGCCTGAAGCACACAGGTTTATAAAGATATTACAGGTTTACTTAGGACAACAATGCCAGGGTGAATCATTTTATTTGCAGAATCTTGTCCCAATATAAAGCCGTTTTCACATATGCACTCCGGATGATATCTAGATATTTACAGGAGGACTTCTCCGGAGATTCTCCCAAACTAGCCGTTCACATATTGCTCCTCACAGCGGGGGACTTTCCCTGTCAGAGGGGAGGGGGGCGCGGGGGGATTTCCCGACGCAAGATGTGACGTAAATAAACAATGCGGAAGTAGCGGCTGAAGCAACAGAGTCTGCTACACGATGTTATAATGAGAATATTTGCCTTTATATCAATGCTATGTGTAATCAATGGAATGACAACATCCACAAAAGAGAGAACAACATACTGACCAACAGAAAACATAATGCAGCCGTTTAATTACGTGCACTGAGATCATAGTGGTCACATGCAGACTCTTTAGCCGGTCACTGTATATAAACGTCATTCTCTTTTCATTGGCTGAAATTGAAATCTCCGGAGTATATTCGGCCGCGTTCAGACATCAGCTCCTCCGGATTATCTGCGGAAAAAATACTAGGGATCTGGCAGGATAAACTCCGGGTAATATCGGAGTAAAAAATTCGGCTGTTGCGTTCACACATACAGCTCCTCCTGGAAATCTCCGGAGTTTTTCAGGAGATTTCCGTATGTGTGAAAAGGGTTTAAGATTATTGATGTGATGTCATGAACAACATGAGTGCAACCCAGCTAGAGTTGGTCAATTCTATGAAATTAAGATCATTCTTAACATCTGACGTCCCTGAAACATTTTTAAATGCACAACATGTCAGCCCTGGAGCAAGACTCAGTACCAACGGCTCAGACTTCTCACCAATAGAGGAGAAACCTCCAATTGCTTTATTATCGTTGGAATATATGAAATGTTTATGTAATTGACGCTAGCTGCCAGGGCTAAGTATTTACTTTATATTTTACTCAAAAGCACGCATCAATTAGGACTAAAACCTGTAACATAATCTGCTTATTTTAGCCAGAAAGTATTGTATGAGGTGTTAAGTGAAGATTTGGCTCCACAGATGAGAACGCAGTGCAGCATATTTGAGCTACAGTCAAAACTCAAGTGAACTCTGGATAACTTACCTTTCAGAGCCATGCCAGTTACTTGAAAAGCAGACAGGGGTTGGCTTGAGAGTTTGGCTCACACACACAGTGTGAAGCTGGTTAAATTACAGGCTCGTGGGCCAACCTTCAGCTTAGCAGTAAATTGCACTACAGACTAAATTGTGTCACACAAAGTATTAAAAAGGTGTACGATGCAGAATTAAAAAAAAGATTTCAGATCAAACATTTGATTGGTCTTTACTCAGCTGGTGTAAATGACCCTTTAATGATTGTTAAGGAGCATTAGGGTTAGTTTGAAGACAGGATCATGAAGCTGTCATTTTCTTTATATGCAAGGTTACTGGTCAGACATTTTTTTATGTGATTTCAGATTTCCCCAAAAAAAGAGAATGTATTTACAAGAAAGCCTGAATTTAAGAGTGTGATTATATTATTATTATCATTATATTATGATTATAGTATGATTAACTTAAAACATTTTCTAACCGCCAAAGAATTGGTTGTTTGATGACGTTACATTATTGATTGATATGTTTGTCCGTGTGTTAGTTTAAGTTTTTTTTCAGTGTCATCACAGGATCTTAGCAAAGACCACTCAACAATACATGAGCCTTTAAAAGTGTACTGAACTATTTATCAGCCATTGGACAGCAGAGCAGCCATGAAACAATGACGGCCTGTTAGTCTGTGAGTGACTTTAATACCAGTTTAATGACTTGAGCACAGTGTCTCAGTTTACACCCATTTTAATGGTGTCACTAAAGTCGTTCAGGGTATAATGCTGGGTCAGATGATAAGTTGAATTAGGTCACTGAAGTTAAGCATTAGAAGGGAAGTGTTTCACATTAACATCATCACTGATTGGTGGGTAAATCTTTAATTTGAATTGAGACAGCTCTGGATTGATCATCTTTCCAGTGTTAGTTTAACTTTAGAAGACTTGCCTCTGGAGGTAAACACACGAGGAAGGAAGGGCGCTGAAGAGATTCAAAAACAGAACAGAGAGGGACACTCATCAGACCAAAACCAAACCTAGCTGTCAAACCTGTCCAGATAACAGCAAAGAGACAACTAACATCTCAAATACCTAACATAAATATGAGTTTAATAACAAGTAATCCATATGTAAATACCTCTAACTTTCCCCTTTCAGCTGTACGAGTGAAATAAAGTGATCTAAATCCTTATTTGATTATGATCATGTACACCGTTACTATACAAGCTATTAGAAGGAAAACAGATAAAAGACTGATGCTCCAGCAGAGGCGATGTTGACTCGGGGTTAATGGAGGTGCTGGTGAGCTGACTTACCACCCAGGTTGTCCATCTCCTTCTCCTGCAGCAGGCTGACGGCATCATCGTCTCCATCCAGAATCAGCTCTGTCTCAGGGTTCTGGCTGGCCACAGTCTGACTGCGGAAGACCGTCTTACACTTGACCCCCTTGTCCTCCTCAGTGCCTATAAAGAGTAACGTGTGGAAGAAAATACACTTAATAAGTCACATTTCCTACTCTGCCACTAACCACTGCAGTTTCCTTTGATACATGTCTGTTCAGGATGTTGTACTCATTGACTGAGTGCAAGATTTCAAGCCGGCTCAGCAGAAATGTAATGTCCGATATAAAGTACATTAAAGACACATATAGAAGACGTAAAGAAAATCAATGAGTTAATAGAGTACAAGAAAATAAAACATCACCAATAGAACAAAACCAGACAACATTATTAATGTTATTTAAAATAAAATAAAACAATATTGAATATTAATGTGAAAAATGTATTCAAACTGCTCAAACCAGGCGTCATGAACACATTTCTGTTTAAAGGCTTACAGGTTCATTTGAATCCAGTGTGTGCATATTGTCCTCGTGTTCAGACAAAGGAATCAGATCTTTATAGGATATTAAAATGCAAAACATCAAGTCAAATAGTTAAAACGCGTTAAACCAAGGAGTATGTCTGCATGAAATACACAATACATGCAGGATGAACCTGATCTGAGATGCTCACTAATGTAGATGCCACAGCATATGAAAGAATGTCAGAGTACACATCCGTTCACTGAATACATTTCGCGTGGTTGAACATCAGAGGTGTTTCAGCTTTTATTTTTAGACAAGGTCAACAATGAAACACTATCTGTATCTTGAAAGACCAACAGCTGAGTCGGGGGATACATCTCGAGCTCATACTCGATTAGAGATATCTTTGGAGCTTTTGGAGGCTTGACAAGAGTGAGACTGAACAGACAGCACAATTAGGAGACTGCTTACACCAGGATTTCATCATATGGCTATAGAGGAGCACGCTCATTGACAAAGACGTGTTCATACATCCTGCAAAACAAAGAGGTCTCACAACACATTTCTCAGCTTGAATCAGCCCGTCTCCAACATGTGCCTGACACACGGCTGCTCACAACGCTTATGTGAATTTGTCTATCTTCAGTCCAGTGTAAGAAATAAGCAGAGGAAGAAGTTTCCGTGTGTGAAAGGAAGAACACTTATCAAGAAATGGGAGGTGGCTGACACCCGTCTGACATGTTTCCTTTCAGCACCGTTCTTAATTCGCCTCTCCCTCCCCTGAGGAACATGTACCTTGTCTTGAAGAGGTCACATTTGACTGTTGTCAACACTGCTACTGAGAAAAAAGTCTGCTTCCTGCTCTGTCTCATATCTGGAGCGCTTTCATCAGAGGGAGGGAAGAAGTCTGTGCCTTTCGGAAATGAATTCTGTGTAATGTTAAAGGCAAAAGCCAGCCAGCGGTCAGAGATCAAAGCAGCGCGAGTGAAACTTAAAACTGTAATTCTGTAAACCGTCATTATGCTCAGAGTAAATGAGGGAAGAGAGGCTGATGTTCTGACTGGCAGGACTGTACTGGGTTGAGTAGACCAAATAAACCATGCTGATTTCTACACGCAATGACCAACATCAACTTCTCTGGGGGAGGGGGGGGGGGCACACTGCAGGGTAAAGGATCTGCATTACCCACAATGCAATGTGGTTCTCACAAAAAAGTAATGTGGAAATAAATAAGAAGGAAATGAAGAGCTATGACATGGAGGAGAAAATGTGCTGACATGAGAAGAGTGATAGCCCGTTGACTCGGAGACATCGCTACATGGAAGTGCGTCTGTGAAGAGGGGTCACAGTTTGTCACTATTAAAGGGACTTACTGTGCAGTCGTGTCTATGCAGACTCATTAGGAACATTGTCATTGGTTCACCCTTGACCAATCTAAAATGACCCTCTTGAGTTTATATTAAACTTGTAAAAAATGACTCAAAAGAAAAGAGACTGGGAAATATACATAAGCAAAAACATCCAACAAATATTTAAACTTCTTATTTGAGGCTAATTTTCTACATTTATATTCTATTATCCTTGTTATCAACAGCAGTTATTATACGTATGATCAATGGGATCATTCATTGTCAAAATATTGTTTTGTCTAGCATGCACAAAAATAAAAACAACCAAAATGAAGCAATACAAATGCATCATTTCAAATAAGCTTCCTATTTTAAATGTAAAAAGTTAAATATTTTTTCTAATCCAATTAGATGCTTACACATGAATAATGTTAAATACAAACCATATCAATATAATGAGGAGTGAGTTTGGTCTATGCTGTGTGCTGTCGTGTGCTTACATGATGCTCACTGACATGTTTGATTTCTTCAGACGCAGAGAGCCAGGAGAAGACCGATGTCACTGGTCTCACAGGTCCTCTCTTGCAAAGTTATTGTGACCCTTTTGGGTGAAGACCTGCCCACTTTAACCAATGGATGATACCCCTGTGCACCATCAAGTATCTATGCTCCTCAGTTCCAAGGGTTTCCACCAATTAGCTATAGTTGGGGGGAAAAACTGCAGGGTGACATCTTGCACTTCTGGTATGATGAATATTCTTGAAAAACTCATATGAAGAATATTCACCAATGTTTAAGTTTTACTGTGGATAATAACTTATATACAAGGTCCCAATTTGGAAAATATCAGTGCACAGTAGTTTTACGATTCAGTTTGGAATAGATAAGAGTGAAAGGCCTTAAACAACGCTGGAGAGTTTTTGTGGCAGCAGCCTTTTTATTTTTATGGCCCGAGTAGAGCGAGCGAGCATGAGTTTTTCTGACTTTCTCCTATGTATTGTACACCCGGGCTCAAACATGCTTCACTGCCACTCCTCAAAAAGACTCCAGAACATCATGTTTCACTTAAGTTTATACTAATGTGTATGGGTACTTCTCTATAGAAAGAAAAAAAGCTGTTTCATAAATGTTTTAGGTAATTCAATATATACGACTATAAATAAAACACAAAATAACTCAAGTGGCTCGTTTTAGAGGTTTACATGTAGTGGTTCGAACAGCAAAGAAAGATGTGTGTAAAGCTGGGAAAGGGTACATGCAGGGTTCTTTTTCAACATCAGTGAAATTCAACAAAACAGGCAACATTTTGAACACAGCTTAAGACACAAGGCTATCTGAAATCCTTTATAAACAAAGACTCCGGGAGAACAGCTTTAACTCCTGAGCCTTTGCAGAAATTATTCTGTTTTATGTCTCGTTCTGTCAGATCTTTGAAGATAATTCGCACAAGTATAAGCCTCAGTTGCATAGCTTATTTACTTTACTATCTTAAAATGTAAATCAGTGTTTTATGCAGTCATTCAAATGTCCATATAACGTAAGCGCTATAGAATGTTGTAAATATATCTCTTCCGTTTCCCAGACTCTATCTGTTTCCGATCCTGCCCTCCTACACTCCCTCTCCACGGGCTCCACATTCCACAAGCAGAGAAAAAGTGCAGTCCATAGGATTGCATTACTTCTACGGCAAAGCAATTCTGTCCTCTGCCTCTTCACTTTTATTTACTCTGCACTGACAGATGAAATGAGGCGTAAAAATGACAGTTTCATACTTCCTGTGATGCAAGCCATCCTTTCTGCAGTGTATGTGTTTTGAGACTGTAAAAGTAAATATTATCACTTTGATGTAGGGGAGTTTATACGCTGCAGACGCTTCCTCTTTGCATGATCTTTACTCAATATTCCTGGGATGTGTGGTGCGTGTCTACTGTGCTGCCAGAGGTTACAAACAACCTCACATTCTGGAGATCAAAACATTAACACCAATGTCTGATATTACTCACAACTGGACCTGAGGATTTGCATGTTAGTAAATGCACTACAGTCCTTTTATTTGTGCTACAAAGCAGGAGAGGGTTAAATTCCCATCATGAGGCCGGTGCCTCTGCTGCAGTAGAGAGCTGTAAAGATCTGGGCCGGGGGCAATCAGCTCAGAGAGAAGCTGCTCACCTGAAAATGAGACAGCAAGGACACCCGGAGGTAAAACACCCCGTTAAACACTTGGATCAATATTAACGTGACTTCCATTTCATGCTTGCCCAATTCCAATCACCTAACAATATACTCTGATGCTGGGCCGTGGCTGGCTGTAACAGGGCAGGTTATTACAGGCACAGGGCAGAGACACAATGTGCTGGCTAAGCTGTCAATGCTGCTAATAGACAATGAAGCAGAGTTTAACCTCCCATCACACACCTTCATGAATGTGTTCACGCTCACACACAGACACACACATTGCAAAAAAAAAAAGTGATTAAAAAGGTAAAACACATGATGCACTGGTTTTGCCAATAAATCAACTTGTCGTAAAACGTTTCCCTTAGAAATGCATTCTTATAGGAAGAAAGTTAGGAGTATGATCTAAGGGAACTGTTTCAACTGTGCAAATGATCATTGTTGGGAAAGCATTGAATTATGTCTTTTTTTAAAGGTCAAATTTAAACATCTCCATTTAAAAAATAATAAAAATATCAGTTTAATCTTTAAAAAAAAAGCTATGTTTGTATATACATATGTATTTCACTGAAGATAATTGCGAGACTGTTGGATGCTGTCAAGAACAACGCGGGCCACTCACTCACTAAAGGGTTCCTGAGAAGAAGAAAAAACTTTCCTTTTCACTTTCATATCTCCCCAGTGAGCTCCTCAGACTGACACTTATTGTGAACACAACAGTGTAACTTTGCCCTCATCAAACTCAGGACGGTTGCTGAGTATAAATTGTCATATCTTGCTGTCAAAACAGAAACTGTGTATTCAATTTGGACAACTAGCTGGTTCTCCGATATAGACGTACTGTAGCTTTTAAAGCTTTAATCATGACTCTCCAGGGCCAACTCAAACAAGTCTCACACCCTGGAGCCTATGCAGCCGGCAACCTACAACAAAAGTTCTATAGAGTTCCTGTCACACCTCCAGTCTGAATGATATTACTAATAGATTTCTAACCTCTGTGCCTATGTGTTGGAGTAATCTGCTAAAGACCTGGTGAGTTTCTTCTATCTTTAATACCATGCTAATTGGAGGCGAATATTCATTACAGAAAGAAAAACTGTCATTGCACATTTAAAACAAAAACTGCCAACTCTCACTGCCAACGAAAGCTATTGAAGCTCTGCAAAAGAACAAAAGATCCTTCTCATTTTAACTCAAAACAAAACCTGGCCTCCGCTGTGCAACCACATCAAAGCCCGCTAGAAAAAGCCTGAAAGTGCAGCTCACCTCTCGAGGAGAGCAAGAGGGCCATCCGACCGCAGGCGATCCCTTTCACTTGACAAGTTTATACATTATTCCGCTCATTAAAACCACCGCATGCCAGCAGGACTTCACCAAGTCTTCACTCAACTACACAGGGGTATTAATGTCAAACAAAAAAATGGTTTTAAAGAATAGTCTAGTGATCGGGGGAAAAAAAACAAAATAGGTATTTGTATGTTTGTTGTGAGGACATCAGTCACTAAAGGAGAAGTAGATACATTAATGGGTATGGATGAATTTGCCTTTAACTGCTTCCATTAAAACCCTCTCCCGCGTTTATCTGCAGGAAATGTAACAACATTTCAAAAGACAATCTCCAATGATGAACAAGCAGCATTTGCACTTTGCTGCAACAACTTATAAGTTTCAACAACAAAAAAGTTCACAAACAAGTAACTTTGGGGTCCTCAAGGCTCATAACACTTGGTGGCATTCGGCTTTTAAAGGACAAAAAGGAAAGTCAAAGTCTTGCATAGCATAATGCACTACTTTATAAATTATAAGACTATGTGTGGCCTGCACAAGCCCTGAAGCTCCCTCAGAGGTGTTGTGGTGTTTTTGTATTGTTTTGAATTGAATTGAATGGATCTCTGTTTGGTCTTAAAGAAACATAAAAGATGTAAGGGCATAGTAAAGGATGGTGTACAGTATGCTGGAGCAAAAGCTTATTATGCTGACTTCAGCTTAAATTTTTCTCTTGGCTTTTTTAATAGCTAGTTTTAATAATACTTAAATGCTCTCTTATATTGTGTGTCTTTTGTTCCCTTAGTATTGTTGCCTTTAAGGCCTTGTGTGAAGCCCTGTATATTGGGTTGTTGTTGTAATGTGCTTTACAAATAAACGTGACTCACCTTGCCTAGCCATTAATTAAGTTGTTAGCAGGTGAACTGTCCTGCAGGAGAATTGTATTTAAATTAGATTTACAGGTGTGATAGTAAAAGGGTCCCCCAACATATCCATGCAAAGGACTTCCAGATAACATTATTAAAAATAATCTTGTTATTCATTCAATTCAATAAATGGATTGGATAGATTTCTATGTCATTGTTTTTAATTAAAAGATTGGTATAAAAAAATAACAGATTTTGATATGCAGTGATTAATAACATCTAAAAAGAACAATTAAAACATTATCATTGCAAGTTAAGTTATTCGTTGATTTTTATCTATGTTCCATTTCCCCACCCTCTTCCCTCAAAGTCCCCCCCGCTCCCCCTTGCGAAAAGCGCTGTGCTAGTAGGTAGTGTTGATGCAATTCCAAGTTGTTATAAAACAAAATTAGCTCATGACTAAAATAATGGAACCCACACAAACTATAAAGCAGACGGTGCAATTACAGCATGTGTGTCTCATATAGGCCACCTGCAGCTGAGGCAGCAGCTGGCATGTGTTTATCTACAGAGCAGCCATGGTCTTCATGCAGCAGCCGTGGCAGAGCCAGAGCTGAAAGCAGCCAGATGACATGCTAAACCCTGCCAATGGTTTGGCTACACTCGTTCAACACTGAGATAGCAAGAGGTCAGAACACTGTGATCATCATGTATGAGTTGCTGATCATAATGCATTGCCTGATTTTTATTTTCTATGAAGTTAAAAGGCGCTTACTCCATTAATTTCAGAATCAATAGAAGGACTCTTGCGCTGTTAAAACTTTTCCACTGCTATTCAATTACATGCGGGACAGAAGGGCCCAAGGGTTTTAAGAGTTCTGAGCAGCCTTCCTTTAAGAGTTGCTGTTTCATGACATAAGACAAATTTCACAGAGTGGTGGGCAACACCACAAGACGGGCAGGGTCAATAAGAAAAGTTCCAGTAAGAGAGAAGAAATAATAAAAGCAGAGATCCAATTTGTTCTTGGTTATGTGCTGTAATAGAAATAAAAAAGTGCAATAAAATGGTTGTGTCATGTTCAATATACTTGACTCATAAACATGTTAACTATAAAAGTGACACTTAACTTTTCCTAATCACTTTGCTAAATTAAACGGACAAGTCTCTGCTGACTATCGTGCCCTTTTAATGTGTTCTCTAAAAGCTTTACACATCAATAGTCTATATTTAGTGTTGATGCCATTAAACTTTAATTGGTGTAAAATTACCCTGATTCAACAAAGAAATGCACAACTCACCATACTCCTGCAGTGATTTGCATGTGACATCTAAGTGGGTGGAGCCATACGGATTTCTGACAAATCTCCGCCTCCGACGCAGGTCATCTTCCCAGTAGTCAAGACGCCAGAAGTCGTGCAGCTGACTGTGAGAGAGACAAATGGGCAAGGTAGGTTAGATGGAGCAAATGCAGCTCAGTAACGCTCTGATTACAGAAGCCAGTTCCTTATCAGAGGAAAACATCTTGAGGAGAAAAATCAGGCTACAGATAGCAGTTTTATGAGGCTGACTAGTGGCATGCTCTGCAGACGTCCACTAATGTTAGCACAGCTAAAGCCTATAGCATCAGAACAGCAGGGCAGCAGCAGCAGCAGCCGCTGCACACATAAATCACAGGCACTCCCATTAACAAATACAGCATCAAATTACAAGTATAAATGGCACAGCTTGCCTCCTTCTTTACAATGTTTTTTAACAAGACTTGTAAATCAAAGGTAGGAACCTCAACGCAGACAGCGTGGGGTTTAATGATCGGGGTCTTGGGGCGGTTGAGGCATGAGCCTATAAAACAAGCCCCCTCCCTGCATATGTGGAGCCATGATTAAAATAATGTGCTGAAATATTCATTGAAATGATTCCCAGAGCCCTCGAGCAACCCGACAGAAATTGCATTTTTATTCATTATTAATAACAGCGAATTAGGGTCGTAAAAAAAAGAGAAAGAGAAGAAAACAGTTCCAGCATGTGGTAACCATCTTTGTAAATGATTATACCAACATTAGTGAGGACCTGGGATAATTTTATTGCTGGCAGCTAATGCAAACCATTAAGCACCAGAGCTAGCATTGGGTTACTAAGTGCTGCAGTTCCAACTGTGCACTAGCTGGAGCTATTTCAAAGCCGTGTGTTTCCTTCAGAGAGGGAAATGCAGCCAAAGAGGCTTCAAATTAACCCAATGTAAAGAAGGTAGAGTGACACATGCAAAACTAGTGCAGACTCAGGACGTGATGTGCAGTGGCCAATAATGTGAGATTTGATGACACTGGACACTTTACACTTGTGTCACTTTATATATTATCATGTCCCCCCCCTCATCAGCAACACAGAAGCATCTGTCACTTTAAAGACAAGGGATGTTCAAAATAAATTAATAAATAAACATTGACATTAGCCTGGCATTTTTAAGGTTAAGGTTAAGAATGCATGGATTGTAAGATAACTCTCCATTACAAACACAGTTTTAAATCATATGGAGAGTAATTTCTATTAATCACAAAAAAGGTGCATGCAGTAGAACAGTTCTCCCTATTCTCTAAACAAATGTAGACGTTTTCTTCTTAATGTAAAACACTACCACTCTACCTGATACTGTGTGATCAAATTCAAAGAAGAGGTTTATCAGTGCATGAAGACACAGTCAGACCTTGGCAGCCAGCCGTCTATAACGTTGTATGATTTCTGCCTCTTCACTGCCACAGTACTGAAGCAGTCTAAACAGATTAAAGTGTTACAGGGGATCACATCACAAAATACTGCAAGCCTGCACCGCGAATATAATATCTACAAATGTCAGAAAATCAAGAGGCTCAGGAGACTTAGCTGAGCTCTGACAGCAACACGAGCTCAGTTTCAGTTAAGTATCAATCAAAATCGAGCTTGTGTATGTGTGTGTGTGTGTGTGTTCATGCAACTATGCACACATTGTACGGACAAAGTATCATGCGCCGCTGTATGCAAAGCAACACTGAACGCCTTGAGCTTGTCCCCTGTCAATCTCCTCAAAAGCTTAACGGAGTAAAAGAGAGATGTCAGAGGGTTGAATGGAGAAACCCACGTAAATGATATTGTAAATGCAAGATTACACAGTGTGAAAAATGTAAATCCACTGTAGGGAACTGGGCGATTACTGTTGAAGATTATGCCCCCTAATTCTTAGAGCAAATCGACAGCAGATGCCGGTGGGGGATAAATCCGCCACTTTGAAGATTTCCTTACAACAGTATTAGCTGCATGTGATGCATTTTATTTGGTCTGCTCAAGGGCGCTCCTTTGAGTAAAAACCTCAGTTTAAGCCAAAATACCTTCATTAATCTGAACAGCAATCAAAAAGAACAACAAACCAAAACCCTAAGTTATGACTCATTAATGAGTCCGATGCCAGCGATTCCCCTAGTTCTGTACTGTGCAGATGGTTCCAGTTTGAATGTAGGACTGTTGTTTTATTAGGATCTGTGATATTCTAGACTACATGGACAATGGGAGACTGGATTCAGGCCCTGGCAAAGTACTGAGCTGAAGAACCTCCTCTCTCAGGGTGGTCCAGAGTTCTCAAGAGGAATGAACTCCTGATGGAGATCTACAGCTGGGCGCTGCTGAGCTCTTACGTAAGGGATTTCTGAGGTGGCACTTAGCCACCAAACAGCACAACCATGGCGGCAAATAAGGACAAATCAAAAATATATTTTCTGTTAAAATCAGCTCACTCAAAACCTTATGGTTATTTCAGATTAGGTTGTAAAATGCACACGTTTTGGCCATATTGTATATTTCATTACCCATAACTGAATCCCTGTTCTTAGAGGTGCAGCCTTGATAACTATTCCTTATTCAGAATAATAATAACAAATAAAGCTGGATGTCTGTATTGTCTGTGTAACGACAACAAATTGTCAATTCAATAGCTTTCTTTATTAAGCAGAGTTCACACCAGACCTCCTTATTTTCCACATCAAATGTGTCTGGCGTCATGACAGCCATAAAGAATGACTGTGAGCCGGCCTCCTAGAAACTGGCAAAATTTATTAGTCGTGTCACCCATCAATCACCCAAATGGATTTCAAACCGCATTTTAAAAGCTAATTTTCCTGCACTGATAACCTACAGGAAGCAGGAGCACCATTATTTATGGATGCCTCCAGACTTGCTAAGTGCAAGAGGATAAATGTGTGGACGACTCTCGTCTGTTCCCCTCTCTCCTGAATAGGTATTTAAAACGCACCTTTCCCTCAAGGAGCCACTGTTGAGGCTTTTGACTCGTCAGATCTCACACACCAGTCTACAGGGAATGTGTTGTGTTTATAAAAGGAAAGGGAAAGCTGGCAGGCATGATTCAATATAAGATGGGAGAGAAAATAAAAACAAATGGATTGATAACAGTTTTATAGGAAACCATAACATCATTCTAGAAAAGAGATATTTTTGTCAGCTGACAGGGGCTCATACTGGATTACAGGGTGATGTATTCTTACTGCTTCTGTCATATTAGGGCAGCAGATACCAACGTTTGTTTTCTCATATTTTGTCTCATAACTCAGAAAACAGTGGAGGTGATTGAGTAAAATAAATAACTTAAAAAGCACTATTTACAGATTAAGGGGGATTTGTGGGTAAGAGAGCAAAGCTCACACCACATCAACCACAAGCAAACAACACATTATAATACACATACCCTTTAGGAGTCCACCATACAAATTCAAATTCCTGCAAATGCCTCGTGTCATTATACCGGCTGATAAAATAAAAACTGTATGATCAGCTGAAAAACATGAAGCCAATGATTGCTTTGGACAACTCACTCTAACCAGAATCACTACAACACAAAGGGCCAGACTGCAGACAGATGAGAATCTCATGGTTCAAGATTTCCTTTTTATTCTATTTATGCTCAGAGAATATGCGTGTGTGAGGCGGTCAGGAGGAAGGACAGGGGCATGCTGATTCAATAAAACACCATTATTCTCCTTTTAAAAGATTATATTGGTGACATGAGTAGGGGGTAATTATAATAAATGCCAGTAATCAGTGACAATTCTATTCAGAGGCGCAGTGACTGGTTTCCATCACACACACACACACACACACACACACACACGCACACACACGCACACACACGGACACTGAACACATGTCAGTTTTTAGTGAAACTTCGAGGACAATTGGTCTTTTCTTTCTTTTTTCCAGTTGTCCTACGAGGATCTCTCTAAGAGTAACCAAGTCCACGAGGAATTAGTTTGAGATGCAAGTGTCTCTGGATTTAAAGTAAAGATGCAAGTAAAATAAATTGTGAAACATAGGTTAACTGTACTCCGCTGGTTACCTACACATTATATTTCAGCTAAAATATAGTGATTGAGCAGAATGGGGTACCTTATTCAGTCCAGAAATTAAAATAAAAAAAATCTCTTATTTGACTGACAAACATTACTGGTTTGATCTGGTTGTGGATCTGTCATTATTGGGATTCCACACAACATAATACCCGTTCTGCAGTACAAATAAAATATTATAAAAAAAATGCTACAATCTTGTTTTTAAATCAGTGTAATGGTTTAAGCATTTCTATGCCTCATTTCCTTACACACTACTGCTGCTGGGCTGAAAAAAAAGAGTGAAAAGAAGCAGTGACTGGCAGCCATATGGCGATGAGCATTTCTCAGCCCACTGATTTCAAAGTAACCTATAAACTAAGAAAAAAAACACATCACAATGATTTCCTCTATAAAAACACATCAAGTTTGCGCATGCAAACTGAACGGTCACCATCATGATCAGATTATCATAGAAGGCTGCTAATGTTACATAAGACTTTCATCTCTTTCATGCCGCCATTTCTTATCATCACTACACTCAACAGCGATGCAGGCGCGAGGACACCAAGCTAAGATCAGCATGCTTCCAGTTATTGGGAATGACTTTTCTTTTGTAGATTAACAGAGAGTAGACAGACTGCGCAAAGAGTATTGGACAAAGACGAAAGGGAAACAACATAGCAGCAACAAGATTTACTCCAGGTCATCTGGTGTAATGAAGACAGACGTATACACGCTCAGTCGAGGGATGAGGAGCCGTACTGTACTGTAGGTGAACTCCCTTGGATCGCCAGCTTTGTGGATCCCCATCTTTCATCGGAAATGGGGCACAGCCAGGCGATGCCCAGCTCAATTTCAACACCCGATGAAATTGATGATTGTGTGAATGGGCCTCTTTCCAGAGATAATTAGCACAGTGTGCAAGGTTAAGAGTGCCCCAAGGGAAGAGTGCCCAGTGAAGGTCATGAACAAATACAAGCGTGGAGTGTATCGGCTTGCAAGAACAAAGCAGCATCATGTTTTAAAGAAGATTTAATTATTGAAAAATAAAAACATTTTCATTTGCAAGCTGTTTTAAAAATTAGCTGCATTTTAACCCTGTCAAGACACTGGGTTGATAAGAAAACATCGTATGCTCGTCCAGACCAAATAAGCTTTTGATGATCTAATAGAATAAAATAACTGCGGGCAGAAAGGCTTTTTTTTTTTGGGGGGGGGGGGGGGATTCTTTTCCTTTTTCTAGCAAAATTAACACAGAAGTTAGTTTTGGAGAAAAGACTAAATAAATAAGATGCATATTTTGTTAGGAAGTCTAAAATATAAACACTTTTTATAATGTATATTATATTGTTGGCCTGATTTCGTTTACACAGTCAGGCTCAACCTGAGACCTTGCCCTTTCTTTCTGCTCCACAGGGGTCATGAGATCTTGAACCCTCTGAGGCTGTACGGCCCTCCTGAAGGTCCTCCCCCCTTTGTGTTAGCAGACTTCTATTAGAATTGATAACCCTTTCAGGCGGGACCAAAATACTCCAGGCACATCGTGAGTAAAAAGGTTCATTCCATCACAAAGTTATTATCCACAGGGAGATTGTTACCATTCATCAAGTGTGAGAGATGAAACTCACTGTTAGTCAAGGGAAACGGCTGTTTCACCACCTTGCCACAGATCAATATACGCCGCCATTTTCCTTTCTCTCCTCTGCTACAAAAAAAGTAATTATACAGAAGAAATGTTGACAATCAATAGAGCAGTCAGGTAAGGTTAAGGTCTGCTGTGGAGGCCAAGGGAGGCTCCTCCGTCACCTGTCAGTGATGCTGCGGATGATGTGAACATGTACACCAGCATGGGAACAAAAGAAAGTTTGTGTCCTTCAGCTCCGGTTACATCTCTTTAACCATTAGTACTGAGGAAGTGCAGCACATTTTCTGTGTAGAATGAGGACAAATAAGGTTCACTGATGCCCATATTGTCTGAGTGTGAGCTGCACAACACCAACAAAAAGATGTCTGTTTACAGTATAAACAGGTCGGATGCTACAGAACAATTTAAATGGTCCTTTAAAATTATAATAAAGAAACAAAACATACTCGTAAACACCAACAACTAAACATTTCCATGCTTACTTTCCAAATGAACTATTCTAATGGTACAGTAGAAAGTGTTTGTTTAGTCACATTATTTCAATGTGTGTGATATTGTTGCTTTATTTACCATTAGCTGGTCATAGTAACGCCACCAGTCCGATGCTGAAAATGTAGCAGACATTTATTCTTCAATGAATTCATCAGCCTTGCCTTGACATCTACTTTCACTCTAGACGAGGCTGAACTTTATAATCCACTGGCAGGGATCAGAGGTCAACAGCAGAGGGGACCAGAGGGCAGGGAAAATCACTCTCCCCCCGGAAAAAAGTCTGACATCCAATTTTCAACTTGATTTATCAGTGTAAAGCTAAAATTGATAGTGTGTCATTACTGGGCAGGGAGCTGTCTTGGAGAGATGTATCAAAGCCTCCTCATTTTGATTTAGAACGGCGGATCAATACTACCCTATACTGTTTCAATTTGAGGATTATTGATTTTCCTATGCCGACTCTATACAGGGGGACATTCATCATCAAGCAAGCATATGATCTAATAGGGCAACGTAGGCTCCGATCTGCTTATGCCTTACTCAGATCACATGAGTGCAGAGCAGCTGTTTGAAAGCCTTGCACAGATTGTTTTGGGTGTCGTATGTGCTGCACCACAATATTTGATTTAGTTTGCCACAATGAGAACAAACGCTCAAAATGGAGTAATGGATAATCTGCACCTAAAGAAAGGCCTGGTGGACTCATCAGTCCAGTTGCAAAATCACACTGGTAGAGGAAAATAAAACACAAGTTCAACTTGTTTCTGTGTCTCCTGTATGCCTAGGTCTGTTTTTTGTTTATAACATATTCTGCTCAAATGATCAATATCTTTTGGCATGTCTCCAGGCACAATTTAGGACTAAAAAAGGCAAAGCAATTTCTGAGCACGAGGTTGAAAAACAAACATTAACAACCAAAGTCTCTCTGTTTTCCTCACACACACACACACACACACAACACACATGTGCAGACGTAACAGACAGCCACCTCCAAATGCTTGAGGGCTTTATATTTTACAAGAGCAGCATAAATGGGAAAGTTAATGTAGCATTGAATAAGACTAAGCTGCTGAACTGCAACACTGCCTTGAGCTGCTGAGCATATTGCATCATTTTTCTTCACCAGCAGGTTACCATTAAATTTGAATTTGTTGGAAGTTTTGCCGTATCATTTACAATGCGCCCACGCTCAATAACCTTTTGTTTCAATGCTAATGCTTTGCCTCTGAGAGGGGCTCCATAAATATTTGAACAAGAGCCCAGAATTTATCCAATAGATTTTGTCACGGGTACTTCTTCTAAGGTTCAGTCAGTTATATGAAAATTTTAGTTGGAACACTGTAACCTTTTCAGTCACGGCCAAAATATTCATTTGACAAGATATCTAATATAATTTGTGTACGTTCAGTTTTTGGATTATGCATCCAACTAAATGACATCTTCTAGAAAATTTACAGCTACCGTTCATATGAAAAATATCAGTTTGTATATCTTAATTGACATCTTTAAACAAAACAAATCTAATTTTATGAAGGTCAAACATCTGCAATCTGTTTTAAAGATTGAATAAAAAAAACAAGCTACTGTTATTGCAAAGTGGCTGCATTTGTTTTGGCAAATTCTCACATGTGAGTCATCCTGTAGATTACAGCTCAAGGCACAATTTACTCTGGTATATGGTTGGGTGAATATTTTATTAAACTGGTGGTTCCCCCCCCCCCGACAAACCATTGTGAGAGTCAACATAACGCCCAATACAGCTAACCTGCAGGCAGCAACTAAATCTTCCCAATACCGTCTTTATAAAAATTGCATGTAGGCTGTTCCCAAAGATATATTGTCATACTCTTAGATCCTAGCGGACTACAAAATATAAACGGTACACTGTAACACCTCTGTTTGTCTGATAGAACTAGCTCTTGATCTTGCCACTCCAGTCTGTACCTGTGGGAGCATGTGGTTGCAGGCGAGGGGTGGGAGGCAGGGCGGGAGAACTGGCGGTTATTTTAACAGGGCCCATGGGGAAGCCTGCAACTACCACCAGGTGCTGGACTGTGTTTCTGAGAGGGTCAATGAATGCCTGGACAACACCACAGAAACACCCCCAACCCCCTTCTTCCCATTCCTCTATCCCAGTCTGTTGGACGACTGGCCAATCAGCTGTCCCCAGGGGTTTCAGCCGCTCCACACTGTAATTGCGTTTGCTGACCCGATAGCTGACCCTGGGAAAATCACATTAGCTGGTGGTCCAATCCCATCACTGCAGAGTTTGTGTACAGGTAACTTCAGGTCGAACCTAAGGCAGCTAAGGTTGATGTTGAATTCTTAACATGACCCATGGTAGTCTGAAGGGGAACTTGTGAGAGGGCTTACCTCTGGGCCAGTGTCCCCCAGGCTCCGTGCTTGTTGGTGAGGATGTTGACTATTTTCTGCCTTAGCTGGTTAGCCGTCACATGGTCTCTGTGTTTCGCAGCACTTATCAGGTGGTCGCACATCTTCTCTTCCTCTTTTCTGTCAGCGCCATATTGGGCACAGTTGGACTAATTAAAAACAGAAAAAAATAACAATGTTAATGTCATTGTTCATGTATTGCTTTCTGTACAGCATCCAACTGCCAAATATGATGTCTTACATTCTGCTAATAGCATGTGAGGGTGTTTGACTTGAATAAAGCCGGAATAATATATACCCTTTAATGGGGCATTTGTCACACTGAAGAATGTTATGGCTTCATTCAACACACTTGAGTGCATAAAGATATTAGTGGACAGCTGAGAGATATATTTCTGCTCCCTCGGAGGAGAGTAGTAAATCATGGCGAGCACATAAAGGCAGTCCATTCCCTAACTGCGGACAGATGAGGCTCCCTGCTAGGTAGCCTTGGATGGTGCTATTAGAGGAGAAAGGGAAAATACTCTAACAGATCCACAAAGAATATAAACTGCCAAGGTTAACAAAGCTGCACTGTCATTAAATCAAAGGATTTGTTATGGTCCCCGGGTATAGAATGATGTAAAATGCTGACGGGAGGAAATTTTCCAAAACCAAGTACACCATAAAGGAACAAAAACCTTCTGTAACTTAAAGAACAGATACAAACATTGCATCATGTCTGTTATTTAAGTGTCCGAATAAAATACATTTTGTATCTGATCTATAAAAATACATTGTATAAACTAAACAGCTTAATCAGATTACCTAATTTCTACAGATAAACTATCCGAGGGTTTCAGGTGACTAAAGTAATCGAAAGGAGCATGTCTGACTCTATCGCTGCCTCTAAAACAAGATTGTCTTACTCTGCCACCCCAGGGGAACTCTTGCTAATATTCAAAATCTAATTTGCTAACAGAAGAGCTAGGAGTTAATTGAATTTCCTGCTTCAAATTTAAATTCTGTCAGATATTATACTTCAACATATTCTTCATAAGGCAGATAACTCAATCTCTGCTTGTCAGCTTACATTTCCACGTGATGCTGTGACAAATATCAAACGTTATTTATCACTTTAAAGCATATGACGCGTCGCCCTGACACCAACTTAATTGTAAAAATGTCTTATCTGCGTCCTGAATCTTCAATCTTAGAGAGTGGGTAATAAAGTAACGTCAGAGCTGGATGAAAAGTGTAGGCTGTCTGGAGTTGGCAGACAGAACGGATGGGGCCAGGTACACTTCCCCCTTCTCCTGACATTGCGTATCTAGCCGTCTCTTCCAGTTTATCTAGCAGGTCAAGGATCCTCAAGAACTGTATATCAAGCAGCTGTTTGAGGATGGCTGCTTTTTCCAGATAAGAAACTCATCACTCCTCACATGTACAAGCTGCTAACAGAGGTGGTGGAAGTAGAGTGTGTGTCTGAGGGTAGGTGTGTGTGATTACAAACACACACATACAGTACGTCTTCTGATGTTTAGAATAACTCAGCTCTTCTGATTGCTTTGAAACTCTTTAGCTTTAAAAAAAATATTCTGTTTGCTTTTTAAGTGACAAGGGCCACAACCTTTTTGTGTCTAAGAGAAATTAAAAGCAGAAAAATTATTTTCAGAAATGCCTTAAACCGTGTTAGCCTTTCCTTACATGTCGGAAATAGTCATAGTTTGATGTGGATGGGCTTAATAGAGTCTCTCTAAATTAATTTTGCTCCTTTTTCCCTTTCCCACCATAATTAAATGATTTTATAGAAGTTGTAAGGTCGAGGAGTTAATCCTCAGAGGGACACGATTACTGAGCAGTTCAATGCCGTTTTTATTCTAATAGGATTTGTTTCGAGTTCATTAGAAGACTGAAAGGTATTCTGTTTTCACCAATGATTGTAACTTTTTAATTTAGAGTAGCATTGAACAGCCGTAGATTCAAGATGTCTGTCACTCCGAATGTGTGACAAATATTTGGAAGGTATAGGCTCTGTTTAAAATATAAAAATACCTTTACAATATAATAAAGTAAAATCCAAACCGGAACAGATAAAGCAGCATTAATATGGGAATAACGCAAAATAAAAAGTACATCAGAAGTTAAATATTTGTTATTTATTCAGAAGTCTGACGGCCTGGTGGAAGACGCTGCACCCCAGTCTGCTGGTGTGTTATATGTTGTAGATCACACTATCCTTGAACAATTATTTCTATGTGAGTTACCTCTATGCTTCTACTGATTCATTTCATTTCAGATGCTCAACATGAGGGAACAACATGAGGGCGACATGAGGGAACAACATGAGGGAACAACATGAGGGAACAACATGAGGGCACGACATGAGGGAACAACATGAGGGAACAACATGAGGGCACAACATGAGGGCACAACATGAGGGAACAACATGAGGGAACAACATGAGGGAACAACATGAGGGAACAACATGAGGGAACAACATGAGGGAACAACATGAGGGAACAACATGAGGGAACAACATGAGGGAACAACATGAGGGAACAACATGAGGGAACGACATGAGGGCACAACATGAGGGAACGACATGAGGGAACGACATGAGGGAACAACATGAGGGAACAACATGAGGGAACAACATGAGGGAACAACATGAGGGAACAACATGAGGGAACAACATGAGGGAACACGTATACCTCAAACTCTGCATGTTTGTGGACGTCCTCGGCTCGCTGTCTGTTCAGGATGAACTCAGCCTCATTGGCAACACGAACTATGTGGTCCTTCATGGCATGGCAGAGCAACCTTTAACATTGCAGAGAAAGACACATGCAGCATTTTCAGCAAAACATTATTATAAACGAGGACATATATAATTTGAGTGGCTAAATGTGTTGCAGTGACACTCCTAAGAGAGGAGCAAGGTTAATGAAGTATAGCTCATCAGGATTGTGCCATTCTGCACGTTGAAAGAGCAAGTGACTTAGCAGCATCGTTTGTCTGTGTTATGTGGCAACGCTGCAGGTCAGTGACAGATCCCTCTGTAGCATTAAGGAGGGAATGGAGTGTCATTAGAGCATTGGAGCCTGTCCGGCACACTCCTGATTGACCGAGCATCCCTTCCCACTGACCAGAACATCAACCCAAGTGCCTGGATTGCTGACAAGTCTTGCCGTGAACAACGTCTCACATGACTGACTCAGTAGGATCAGCGGTCTCCACCCACATTCACATTTAAATTCCACTTTCCGTAATAATTGAAAAACACCCTTGCTATTGTGTGTAGATTATGTGCCATTTTACACACCATTAGGCTAGCTTTGTTTTAATTAAAGCATCCCCTGTTCCCCTCTGGTGCTTGATGCAGATTGTAATTTCCCGTCTGTCCCGAGGAGAGGCAGTAATCCCGAGGCTGCATTCATCAGCTGCTATTGCCTCTTTAGCTGTTGACAAGCACTCATTAATAGACAGACATTGACTGTTCAAAGACAGAGGCTGACAACGCCAAGCTTTGTTTTGAGACCAAGAATAGATGAGACGGTAAGTTGCCAAGAGATATTTGGAGATAAAAACAAAAGGCATGCAGCCTCTCTACCACTATTTTGCAAACGTATTTCATAGACAAAAAACCCTAATCGATTCACGTGTTCACAGTTAGCCTGGATGTTACTGATAACAAGCACAAAAAAACATTGACCATTCACATTCTTGGATTATGTTTCAAACGGTCATTTTTTGAAGAGCCTCAAAGCATGATAAACTTTGCATTTGGCATCCCTTTAGATCTACTTTTGAGCATTAGATGATCTTTATAGAAATAATAACAAATTCAATAGATCAGCTGGCATTCAGTGGATTTTTTTTGGGTGGATTTGCATTCAAACAGCTGGATAATGAAAATGAGGAGAAACAGTAAAATAGTATGTGCTATATTAGATATGTTGCGCACACACAGCAAGATTTAACTTTGTCCAAAAGACCTTATAAGGCGAACAGATTTAGCAGACTGTAGCCAGATCCAGATCTGTCTAGTTAAGCAGAGCAGGTGTGCAGAGACTTGAGTAAGGCAGGGAAATTGTGTATCTGTCAGCAGCACCCTGGACAGCGCCGTGTGGCCCTACTGACTCAAGCTCTTTGTTCCAGGGCCAGCGGGGTACTCAGAGAGGCCTGACTGGGCTGTGGCAAGAGACAGGGCACAGAGAGGGCCTGGCCAGATGGGTCAGCAGATGGACGAGGAGGCTGAGCCGTCCCTGATCTGTTCAAGGAAAACTCTGAGTCTGGCCACACCCAAAAGGAAGGGAGGGAGGGAGACAGAAAGAGAAACATGGGCACTGGGACTGTACAGGAAAAGAAGAAGAGATAAAAGAAGGCAGACAATGAGAGAGGTTGACCACACTTGATTAACTTGACTGATGTGGATTCTCCTCCTTCATCGTCTTGTAGAAATGTAATTTACAGTTGCCCCCTACAGAGCAGCCCACAGGACGCTATGGGTAAATGTGTAGCCTTCTTCTTGGTACTACAATCTTTTATGGTCACCAGGGAGGAAAATGTATATATTAAGAAGCACAAACACTTCTGCTTTTTTTAGATCTTTAATCTTATGTACCAAAGTGAACTGATACATTACCTTCCCTCGTTGATTAGCTCAATAAAGGCCAGGCCAGCATTCTTCTGAATGGAGTTCTGCCATTCCTGAAAGAAAAGAAAATGTGATTTGGTACTCACACGAGCTGTTCAGTTTTAGGGATGTGAATAACTCCATTACTCTTTAGTCACCTTTGGCAGTAAAGCTAAAAGCTATTGCACTAATAGAAAAGTATGAAAATTCCCCTTGAAGAATTGTAACAAGATCAGAAAATGCATGACGCTCACGCACAAGAATCCCATTTCACTGTCCAAATTGCATTTTTCATCATTTGTAGTTGAGAGCTTGTAATTCAAGTAGGTAAAGAAAGCATTTAGTTTAAATACCCTTTGAAAAAATATGGTTATGAAAAGCTGAAATTCTGCACAGCATGTGTGACCAGCCGTGCTTCCTCTGTGAAAAGATCTGTAAACACAAGAGGGATGTAATTGTAGGATGAAACTGTATCCTCTCCCTTAAATGCAGCCATTTCCCCTGTCCCTTACAGTGACAGATTACTGAGCCCCACAGTACTCGCCTGGAAGGGATCCCAGCCCCAGGCCAGAGTTTCAGCACTTGCTGTCTCACAACATTCTCTGGAAATGATTAAAAAGCAGTTTGAGAGCGCGCCTTTCACTGTGGGAAATTCAGCTCTCCTGTGCCCTCACTGAGGTGCAAATGGAAGAGAAAACAGAGGAGGCCTCAGTTCAAAAGAGGAGGGAAGGAGAGGAAAGTTCATTTCATTTCAGGGGTTCTAATGTATGCATGAGAATCCAGGCTACTCACAGGGACAATATATTAAGAAATAAGTACATTTAATCAGAAAGACTACATGGAAATATAGAATCCGTTGTCATATTTTTCCAACAGTTATACACACTTCTTGTTCTGTGTCAGCGTCTGGACAAGGTGAGCAACAGTTGTTGTGTATAGTACAAGAATACCTGACATTAACATTATTATGTACGGGCATGTGTTTTTGTACACAATTGTCGTGCCTGACACATACCAGTTCACGCAAGAGTACACAGTCTGACCCCACGATGCGTTAAATCAGAGAGATGGTGCTGACAAACTGCTGAGCATCTGGTCTCCAAATGTTCCCCATGACCCCCGTCCTCGGCTACAGTATCTGCTCGGAATAAGCTGCTCTTGATTTGGACAGGGATCACGTACAGTCTTCTGAGGTTCTGCCTGCTCCAAGCTCACGTGACAAAAATAAATAGGGAAATCAAGGCAGATTTGACACTTGGGTGTTGCCAGTAAAATGGCAGCGGGTCAGTGGAGATGTAGCAAGAACTAGTCAAGTTTGCTATCTTGTCTGAGGTATGCTTGTTGACAGCTCAGATAACACTTCAGAGGCTCTCCTTTTTTTTTTCTTTTTTTTTTTTTTTACTGCAGAACAGAGCTCCCAGAGGAGGCTGCCTTTGATTGCAGAGATTTTGAAAAAAAAGTGTTCTGCAGCCCATTTGAAGGGAATTAGGCCTGACATGCAGCTGCTTAAAAAACAGAGATGTGATCCTTGATGAAAATACAGATCATGATCAGAGGGCAGCAACCCGGCCCCTGGAAAATTGTAGATACAAAGCTATGAAGCATAAATATCACATAGAAGTGAAATGCAAAGACGCAGAATTTAGGACATTTGGGGGCAGAAGAGCTCCACAACAAACGGAAAAAAAAACAACATTCACAAATTATTGCCCAGTTTGTTTAATTCATCATAATGAGTGAACTGTTGGCTGAGAATTGCCTACTAAGATATCAAGCATTTATAACTAGCTTTAGCATCTTAACGATCCCTTCAGAAAAGTTAATGAATGTAAGTTCAGTCTAGCTTTCATAAACTCCTGATGGAAAATAATAAGCGGCTTGGTGTTGAATGTCTTATATACAGAACATTTACCTGAGCTTATTCAGCTGCCTGCTGTTGGACACAATGTGACTAAGAGACATGACACTGGAGACTTGAGTAAAATCATGAATGAAACAAATCAAGTTGATTTTAGTAGCAAAAGTTCTTATAGTAATTAAGATTTGATGAGTTATCAATCTTTGAAAAACCCACTACTTTTTTGTGTTCCCAGCAAAAGGAGAGGACAGCATGCTGGCCTTGAGAAAATATCCTCTTCCCACTTTCATCCTTCTGGAATTCAGCAGGGTACTAAGTATTTGTGGTGTTTCAATCCAACCTGTCAGTGCGCGGGAGACTTTGCTTTTATCTGCTCTGCATTGCTCTGTTATATTCTCCACATCTGGAGGCCTTCCATCACTAAATCTCTGTGGCTCCACTCTAGATCCCCCCTGTATGTTTAAGCTGTTACAAGAAACAGAGCTGCTTGACCTTTTCATTCAGCTGCCCGGGCTGAGGAGAGACACACAGTGTCTGCAGCCGCGGCCAGCCACATGATGATTGCTGCGATTAGTATGCATAAATAAGAAAAGGCAGATCATTAGCACTAATTCTTTCATAAAGCTGACAGGTCACAAAACAGAGAGCGACTAAAGGTCAACTAAGTGCCCTGCTTGCTGTCTTAAAACATTAATGTTGAAATATGTGAGGGTTGGCATTTTATAGGGGTGTCAGCCAAAGCTCACCCTGCAGCTCAGAAGACGTGCTGTGCTTTAGGAAAGCTCACAGATACAGTACGTGACACAAAAGACATTCATCAGGAGACAAATTTAATGTGTTAATCAGTCAGATTAAACATTATATTTGCTCATGATAAAATGTACTCTGCATAAATTGGCTCTGTCACCTTAAACAATACGATGTTGAAAACAATTATAATAAATCATGACATTGAAATCGTATTAGCTTGCCACATAGCAGGATGCATTACTAATATTACAGTATTAGGATACAACACAATAGATCATCCCTATTTGAGAGGTTGTGGAAGGACACTGAGCTACAGTATACGGTCCAGTTTCAAGGCCTTACTGTCTGATCAATATCTAATTCTGGGTTTCATCCCCAGAGCCCCTAATGGCAGGAACCTCTGGAGCCGCAGTAATGCTATCTGTGCAAAGGGGGGAGGACTCAGACCCTAAACAGCATGCTGACGTTCTCAACTTCAATAAATCCTAGAGAAGGACAAAGCAACTTCCCACAGATACTCTACAGACAGAAAAGCAGCAAGTCAAAAACCCTCAAAAGAGCAGCAATAACTCAAGGTGGACGCCCTGTTTATGTATATTTTTTGGAGGAGAGCCCTTGAATAATGGCCTCGATATAATGGAGCCTGAACTCCCAGCAGAAGAGGGCTTTGGACGGCAAATACCACGGAGCACACACAGAGGCAATCCACTTCCTCAAGGATCGGGCCCTGCAGTCTGGATCCACAAAGAGGCACCAAAGTAATGGCTTCCTTATGGGCTCCCGACGCAAGACTGATGGGCTGACAGAAGGTATGTTAAATATCTCCTGTTCTAACTGCTACATCGGGGCTTTGACCTTCTCTAAAACAAGGGCTTAACAAGAGATTCAGAGGGTCAGCAAAGAGGTGATCAGTCACTAGCAGCGTTGCACAAGGTGGGGCTCTGTCTCAAAAGAAGGGATCAGGACTGAAGCTCTGGGGTGCACAGAGAAAGTTGTGGGATTCTCTGAGAGCTGCATGTTTCTGTATGTTGTCACCGGTTTGAACCATTGGCTTTTGGAACATTTTGCACACAAAATAGAAAACCAAGGATAAACAAAGCTTAAGTGAAGATTAAGTTAGTTGTACTCTGATTTAAGGCGGTGCGCTTAGCTTTGAACCAAGAATTAACAAAAACAAACACCAACAAACAATGCATTTTTAACAGCATAAAGCCTGAACCGATTTATTGTGCATTTAAAACACAACTTATTGGACCATTTTTAAATTGTCAGATTGTCAATTAATATTCAGTTAGATGTGAAACCATCTCCTTACAGATCTCCATTAAGTGTAAACAGGAAATATGCTATCAAGAGAGCAATAGTGGAGAAAAGCTTATTAAGCAGGATGTGACAGACAGAGAGAGAGAGAGAGAGAGAGAGAGAGAGAGAGAGAGAGAGAGAGAGAGAGAGAGAGAGAGAGAGAGAGAGAGAGAGAGAGAGAGACAAAGAGAAGCTGAAATAGAGGTTGTGAAGAGGAGGAGAAAGAAAAAAGCTCACCTGAGAACAAAGCAGCATAACAAGCTCCACCACCGAGGTGCTGGACTTCATACACACCAGACCTGTGGAGACAAAACCAAAATAAGATTTAATTTTTTAATATATGTTTAAATATCAGTGGATATGTACAGACGTTAGTTTATCATTAATGTGGCAGTCCAAGATAATACTTGTATTATGAATATTCAGATTTAAATTCCTGTCAGAGTATGAACCTTGGACAAAGTCGCAATGATTTATGTCTGGTGAATATTTTAAGTGACAACAATTTGTAAGCCCACTTAATGTGCCCTCAATTTACTCATCATAAAACTGGAAGAATCTGCACAGAATAGATGTGTACTAAACAGAAGCACAGACTTTCATGCAAGCACCTCCTCCACACACATCTTCCTTCACACACACACACACACACACACTAAGAAGTGAACACAGACATTCACAGCTTCTCCTCTCATCTCCGTTCTGTAGACAGTGAGCCGCAGAAGCAGACAACTCTCTAATGAAACAAGGGCAGGTGTGAAAAGCTCATTTGCAGAAACAATGGCTGCAACTGGTCTCGTATTCTGAGACGGGAACCATTAAACGCGCAGTCATTAGGAAAGGAAAGAATGCAACTCTCCAGGACTCATTATAGGCTGGCAGGAGGGAAACTCTGCGCCACACAGCTGCCTTTGTTTCATGGATTGCAGGTTGTCAATCAGTTAGACAAGAAGAGAACCAGATATCCTTATTGTAACATTTCAGTTAGATTTGTTGTAAAGGTTGTGTACTGTGGAGTAGAGTGTTTGAAATGACACTTAGAGATGGATCCTCTGAAAATCTTAAGAACAAGAACATATTTCAATGGAGATTCCATACCATAGAACTTAAAGCCATATGCAACAGCATCTGCACCATACTGCTATTTCTATGTCAATTACATTTTGAAATTAGCTACAGCTATTTCTTTTTGTTCAACTTCGATATTATGAACACATTTTTTTAATATAAATTAGATACAAATTCAATTACAGGAAAAATCTGTTCAAAATGCAGTTTGAACAAATCTTGGACCACACCAACAGGTTATAAATAAAGAGCCAACACCTAAACACAGGAGTAGATAAGATGGCACTGTGTCTTTCATGCTAATGCTAGACAACAACCAAGTAAAGATTCAACGCTACAGCTTGTGTAAATACGGCACAATGTCAGAGGGAATTTAAAATATTCAAAACACTGGATGGACGGATGTTTTTCTCGCTGAATTTACACCCTTCTCCATTCAACAGTCCAGGCTGATGGAAGGAGGATATTGTAAATACTGGGAGAGGATGTGACCCTTCTCTTGTACACAGTGCCAGCGCTGACCTCTTGTTATAGCTGTGACACGCTGAGCCATAAGTCAGTCCAGTCTGACACAGAAGTCAGGTGGCCGACTGACCCTGGCCTTGTGCTGGTAGACAAACTAAATGCATTCTATTTAAACATGGCCTGCCAGTCCTTTCCTGTAAACAGGGCAGGGTTAAGGCACGGGTGAATGTGGCATTGTGGGGCAATGTGCCGGCAGACTGGGCCACTCAGAGGACAGCAAGGAGCAGGCGGCAGGCATCACAACAGCCGCAGTGTTCACACACAGGCCTTACCCACCAACTCCAAGTGTAAAGCTCAGGGTGCACTCAACATAATTGCCGCAGTGACCACATGTCTTCAGGGGGGTTGAAGGAGTAGGGTGAGGCGAAGGGGCACAGAGGGCACATGGGGGCTTGACCCCAGGCAATCTAAGGAGTGATGGATGGCTGGTAATTACTGGTAAATGGCGCGCCTTTGCACTACAGCACAGTATTTCAACTGTGAGCCTGGGAATGGTCTGCGTAAAGAAGGGGAGAGGGAGGAAATCAAGCCAGCCATTTTGGCAAACTAACTGCAAAAAGGACGACAAAGTTAAAGATTTAAAGTTCAAGTGGTAAATCTGTGTGTTTGTTTTGTTGGATAAACCTTCTCTAATCCTTGTCATGGTGCACTTTAAAAGACCCAGACAGGGTTAAACATGTCTGGTGAAAAGCACTGGGGCCCGAGCTGTCTATCTACGACCTTGTTTGTGGGGTTAGACTCTCGGCTCAGCTCTGGTTTGTCAGCTTGGTCAGTCTGCTGACAGACTTTGAGTGAAAGGGTAACAGACATATTCACACTTGTCAAGGCTTTGCTACCTGATTTTCCATTCCTTTCCCTCTGGGCTTGAGTCAGTAGCCTTGGCCACATGTGCATCACACACCCACCTGGCTATTTACATACGTGTATGGCACATGCATGATGTATGGAGGGAAAACTGTTTGTTGAATTTTACTGGATGGAATGGAAAGATTTAAAAATGCAGGCATGTTGCTTTAAAATGTCCTTTTAATGACTGAAGATTTTTTTTTTTTTTAATGAATTAGCCAACTGAGTTTTATAATTTTAAAGATGTGTTGGAACTATTTAACTGTGGTTGGAATTAGTTTTGGTATTTAGTTTACTAATATTTGGGTGGTGTTGTTTATTTAATTATTCTACACGTTTTCTTTATTTAGAATAGATATTTGGGTAATATTTTCTTTTGCTAGTAATTTAAACATGTTAGGTATTTGGGTAACACTGTGGGCACCAGAGGTTATTTAAGTAAGAGGCAGGTAGAGGACCAGCATGCACCTGGGTGGGCCTATTGTTTTTTACCAGCGCAAGAGAGGCACCAGGAGCCACGATTTTATTTGTTCTTTTGTTTGCTTTCTTTAAATAAACCACCAAAAAAATGCAGATCTCTTGCATGGACGTTGGATTTCTTTTGCCTGCGTACATCACATCCCCCATGGTGCATCAGCGGTCATTTGATTATGTTTGATATTAGTTTATTTAGATTTTTTTTGTTTTTGGACAAATAGCCACTACAAGATGTAATAAAAAAAGCAGTAAAGAGATTAGTTTGAAAATATACATTTTTTTAGATATCAGATTTATCCGTTTAATACTAAAAGAATCTGAGTAAACCTAAAACAGTTCTGATATATGGTAATGAAAAATATATATTCACGGTAATACAATTATTTCCACATTTTAAAGGTAACTGGCAGTATAAACAGCATATATAAATATATACTTCACTCTGGCAAGTGGATTTTAGTCAGACATCGTCTTTCAGGAACCGGCTGTAATAAAGTCACGGGAGTGCATTCATTCAGCCTGCTGTCATTCACTGCAGAGACTTCTGAAACTAATATCGGTTTAGGTTACAGTTAAAAGAGAGAAAAGGAAGAGAGATCATTTCACTTTGTGCAAACTGAAAGTCAGGAGACTGCAGGCTACACATACACTGCACTGTGCACCCACAGGCGTACGTCTGCAAACACACTCACAGTAACACACACGTGTGCATGTGTTGGTTGTGGTGGCAGTGTGTTCTTGTGAATGTAAGCCAATACAAGAGTGGCAGTACACACACATGCAGGCAGACAGTCCCTGAGGTTAGGCAGAAGTAGCACTGTGAGCAACTGCCAACTTGAGGCCTGACGAAGGCACTGGAAGCCTTCACACAGCCACCAGGAAATAAGACCAGAGCCCGGAGTGGAGTGCAGCAGAAGGATCACACACTTCTGCAAACACTGAGCACAACTGAGTCAGTGAGACCAGGACTTTAAATATAAGCCATGTGACTGCCACATCACTATTGAACATTTTTGAGGCTGTATTGTCAAGACTCTAATTGGTTTTTGTTTTTATTTTTTGTGGTAAAAAGGGTACCAAGTCAGTGTTGAAACATCTATGATTTCAGGTTTTAGTAGCAGTGCTCCTTCACTTAAGCATCATTACTGCAACTTAACAAGGTGTGTGTAGAAACATACATATCTTAATACATGTCAAAGGACTTGGATTGGTCTTTACAGACAATGTGCTGTGTAAAAACAGGATACGGTTTCAAAATTTTCAAACAAAGACAAATTATCTAGCAAAAGCCATTTCCCCAAAAGTCTGCAGTTAAATAAATAAACACACTTTCGCAACAGAACAAAATCCCTTCTCATGTCAGGTAACAGGGTGAGATGCAGTCTTGGTTTTGAAACTAAAAATAGCAACAACACGAGGCAAAGGCCATGGTTTATTTCAACATTCATTTTATTGTGACATTTGTTGTGACTGTGAAACCCTGATGTTTAAAAATACCACATCGAGGAATAATCCGCGATATGTGGAATGAGTCATGAAGAAGACAAAACACACAGACGTCCCAAGATGAATGAAAGGGAAAGCTGATTTAATCAGACTGTGACAGACCCCCGGCTTGTGTGCAAATAGTGACTCCTGTCAACACCTACCACTGCGTAGGCTGCTGTCAATAAGGCAGCAAGAGGAGAACATACATTGACAGGGTGTTGGGAGCAGGACTCCACCCACAGTTTAAGTAATACAATACATTCATTAACATCTTTACCTTCTATAAGCAGTTCCTGTCCGTGGCTGCCCAGCAGGGTACGAGACAGAAACGGTGCAAAGTCTACAAAGGTCTCTCTCAGCAGGGGTGCCACCTTCTCCAAGGCCCTCTCCAGCTTTGTAGTAATGCTGTCAAAGAAAATATATCAAGACAAGAGTCATAGATGGAAATTAGACAGCTGAATCATTGCATAAATATAAGAGAGGTAGTGGTGTGTCTTTTCAGCAAGGTAACAGTTGACTCAGTGCTGCATGTCCATGGGAGTTTGGCTGCTATCACTGGAGAAGTCAGTAACAGAAAGATGAACTTTGTTAAAAGCCATGTTAACACATTTTTCTACATAGAAAGAGGATCTCTCCACAGATGTTTGCCTTCTTTGTTGAGACATGTTACCAGGCTTGAACACAAGGATCACAGTTTTTCCGACACTGCAGAGAGAAGTTCCTTATCTTCTCCAGACTCACTACATGCTGCTACCTGACATTATCTAAGCACCTCAGAGAAACTGTGAACTGGAGTCATGCAGCTCAGACTGCATACGCGCAGAGCTAGGACTCAGGCTGCAACATATCTCTGTGTTCCTCTGCGTACCCAAACAGAAACTAGGCAAAAATAAGGACAGGAGAAGCTTGTTTTCCTAGCTAAAATGGGCAGAAAGCAGCAAGATAATGAGACACAAAGAGAGGAAAGGTCTGGGTTAGGATTTGTGCAAGCGTGTGGTGTGTTCTGCCTTCCAGCACCCTGGGAAAACACAGCAGATGGAAGACAGAGTTGCATAAAAAGCAGGGGGCACACATAGTTGGCTAACATAAATGTCCTTGCCTAAGACACTGGCCTGCAGCTCTGAAGTCTGCCTGTAATCCTGTCGAGGGGCTAAAGGGTTTTAGCTCAGAGGGTGTCAGCCCCTGGTGGGTTGGACACCGGTCTGCTTCAGCAAATGCTCTGAAATAGAGAAAAATAAAAAATATATATATACAAAAGGCAGTACTTCATTCAATTCAATTTGTTTCTTGATCTTGAACTGATTGGAAAACTTGAGTTATATTATAAACATCAAAGCCGTATTTATTTTGTTCACATTTTTCAGTCGACACTCTCTTCCCTCCTCCAAAATACAAGTTAGGCATCTGCAGGCTTTGCAGTGAGATAGTCCTATCATCGACTTCACAGTAACGCTAAGTGATGTCGGTGACTGCTGCCATGGCAACTGAATATCTATTCTCCTAGCAGAACACAGCAAGGCAAAGAGAAAGAGGGGGAGAGAGAGAATAGGAGAGAAAGAGAGAGGGAGAGCGAGACAGAGCGAGGAAGAGAGAGAGTGGAGAAAGACCTGGACTCCCAGCAGTCAGGGGGAGAGCAGGACTAAGGACCTCTGTCACAAACCATCAGAGCAATTCAGGAAGAAGAGTCAAGGTCAAAACAAGTTTACAATCAGTAAAAAAAAAAAGAAAGGAAACATGTCGCACTGTGTTAAAGAACAACTGTTTTATGTGTAGTATCTATTAAAACATGTGATAAAAGGCCAACATGTAAATATAGTACATATGAGCTGTTGTTGAAAAAAAAAAAAGTTCCATTTGTTTGAATAGAAAATACAAATTATTACGTAGGGGGGAAAAGGTGTTTGAATGATAAGTTTCACACCTGAGCAGGCTTTAAATTCAAATGTGAGTTTACTACCACAGGAAATACAGGCATGCATGAAGAAAAGTGTTTTTGTACCTCATGTTTTCTACCGTGTCCTCGGGCATGGGGGCCACCGTCTGTACGGCCGGCAGGTTCTTACTGGTAGCTCCGTTGACCAAAGTAGAGGAAGAGGAGGCAGAGGGGGCTGCATCTGTGGCTCCTGCAGTAAAGATAAAAAGAAGGATGTGACATAAACGCAATGCAATTAGAATAGCAGACATGGATTTCTGTAATAATCTTAAATAATAAACTTGAACTCTAATAACAGTTACTTTGCAGTGGGATAAGAATTCATTAAAAATAAAAAGTTTCAGGGTTTAAAAAAAAAACTCGGTAACTTTGTCAAACATTAAATCTTATGCTGTAATTTAAAAAAAAATAGTAAATACATTAACTGAAATACATTTCAGTGTCATCTCTAAGGGGGTAAAAAATTTTAAAATGCAAGCTGACTAAAATGATTTAAAGAATTAAAGCTTTAAGACCGACTGTGATCTGGATGACTATAACAAAGATGTTAAAATGAGCAGACTTATCAAAACACCTGAACTAAATGTTTGCATATGCTCGACGAGTTGGTTCTAAATTTCAAAATAATAGTATTCTAACAACATTAATTTAAAGGTGAAACAGCATACATCCAAATATGACATTATGATAAACTCTCTCATGAGATTCGTTAACAGCATGGTGTGTGAGATCATGGGTTTGGGTGAGAGCCTGTGGCTTTAGCTGAAAACACACTTTGACTTGGAAACATTTCTCACATTCCTACACAAGGGGACTCAGAGAGGACATAAGGGAGTTTTCTTGGTGGTGCACATTAAAAAGGTGTTGGATCTCCTAATGGTTCTTGGTGTTAAGTGGGTGCTTTCAGAGGCCCAGACTACAGGAGCCCTGAGGAGGAACCGGCTCAACGCAGCAGAGCCCATGCAGAGGTGACATGTAGGGGTTTGAACAGAGGGCCTTTGGTCGATCAGAAAAGTACAAATTACTCAGCAAAGCCATGTTTGACTATTCCTTTCACTTTTGTTAATTCATTAACATTTAATCTTATAATTAAGGGGTATCACAATGGTGTTGTTCGTGTCAGCAAGTATCCTTAAGGGCCCTGGTTTCATTCTGCAGCTGACATAGCTGCTGCAGTCGGAAGGTAAAGAGGGCCATCTAGTGGAGACAATGAGCCACTGCATGGGCATACATGATCACACCATACAGAAGAGGGAAGGGTCTTTGTTTCTATTCTTGGAATCAACAAAAACAGACTGTGCCACAAAAATGAACCCAAATCAAACACTCTTGAATAGCTCCAAAGTACTAATATTTTTAAACATAACTGATAACATTAATGTCACATTTTCACTGCATATGTATATTCCAGTAACCTTGTGCATGACCTACCCGTTGTATTGATCATGCTTTTTGGGGTTGCAGAGGCAGCAGCAAAGATGTTGGGGGTGCTGCCAGCTGTCAGCCCAGCAGAGGTGCTGCTGCTGCTTCCCACTGTGTGAACTGCCAGGCTGCCAGGGGAGGTTTTCTTCACAGGCACAACCACACTCCTAAAGGAAACACATACACACAACATGCCTTATGGACAAATGCATGCAAAGAAATGCTTTAACAGTTATAAATAAAAGATACATTAAATAGGGTTGACAACATAAGCACAAGTTAATAAAAGTTATACAAATAAGGATGCGAAAGCTGCAAAAGATTTGCAGGGAGAAGAGGAAGAGCTGGAGGTTTGGGGTTTTGCTTCGCTAATATCTTCCCTGCCCAAGTGGCCTTAAGAAACATTTAACACCATGAGGTTCGATTGGAGACTGCAGTTGGTAACTGTAGACATGAACTCATGGTGACCTCATGAAATTATTCATTCCTCTGAATTATGGCCTTTATATATTAATTTAACAGACTGCTTGGCTGAAATACCATTTTTTCAGTTCTTTCAGAAGGTTATAGTTGAGCCAAATAATTAGGAACTTGGGATCCAGCCTTGGGCCTGGGGTTAAAATGAATTAAGCCAGCTGGATGACAGGTTAGCTCAAGAACGAATGTAGTCCTATGTAATCTGACTTTCTGGTAGCAGAGGCTTTCCACTCTGATTGGATGGAATATCAATGATTTGCTTCATTATCTATATAAAATAAAAAATTCTTATTCTTCTTTCTGAAGTATGCCCTGAGCGGGGTAGACGATTAAAATTCATTGATTAGAAGAAAAGAGGAACGTTGTAATGATCCTCATAGTCTCCTTCTGCTGCCGGGCACTGCCAACATGAGCATGTCCAGATGTTAGTCAGGACATTTGAAACATAAACATCCGAAACTGTAACTCAAAGTTTTGGCAAAGCATATGCAATGCAAACACATACAGACAAACACAGGAGAGGCTAAGGTAAATAAACCTAAAGGCAGCAGGCCGACAAGCCAGAATGTAGAATGTCTACCTGCAGGACTACACTTTGGTATGTTAAGTTTTCTACTTTCTGTTTTTAGTATGTTTGTAGTCGGAGTAGTATTGACCAAATCAGCAGGCTTTGGTGTATGACTCTAAACAGGCGGGACACAATCCATGCTGCTCTTGTGACATCTCCAGTCGTTCAGGTTTCCCAACTTGCTGAAATGCATCAAAATGGATCTACCCCAGACTCCATTCAACAAACAAGTGTTTGAAAGTTGTTTTCTTCTCCTCTTGAGGACAGCCCTGACAAAGCTTGCATTCTTACTTTTTACAAAACTGCATCATGATGTTGTAATTTTGGCATAATTAAAACATGTTACTAACAGTGGCTCATGAAGTTGCTACTTGGACTTTTTAACTATGCAGTGCACAAAAGAGAAAGTCTTGGCTGGAAGTGTTTAACGTCAGAAGTAGCCGCATCAGCTAAAATCATTGATGCAGCTTCTTCAGACAGCCCTCTTCTTAGGTCCTTCTTGTTCTCATCTTCCATGATCATTAAATAAAAGTATTTATATTTTTTTACAATTGTGTTTATATATCTATATGTAAATGTAAGCCAGAGCTATGTTTTCATAAAGTTTTTCAATCATAAGGAATATAATCACAAATCTACTTTGGGGTTTTGGTGAAATTCAAGATCAATAAGGTGATGATTCAAGATGAGAAGTTAACATTTCTCCATGCCCTTCCCTAAAGGTATGTTTTCACCAACACTGATAGCTCTGTGTTACAGACTGTACAGAATGTACATGTGTATAGACCTGTAATGTTCATCATTTTGAAGAGGGGTCTTCCTTTTATTCACAGGGGATACAGTAAAAAAACATCACATGCTTGTGACACAGAAAGGCCAAGAGCTCATGAATGAAACATGCAAAGGAAAGATTGTTCAGGCTCGAGATGAAAGATACACTTGTGACCTCTTGTAACATTGCATGAAAGCACACACCATCAAACCTATGTCTGCAATCTGATTGGCCTAGGATTAGAGATGATGCAGCGAACTTGGCCCAGCAAGAGCTCCCTGACAGGAAAGAGGGAAAGCTTGTCCTTATCAGGTCTGCAGTTGGCCTTTGGGTTTGTGAGGGTGCCAGATAATGTCCTGTCCAATCTCCGGCCGTTACTCTGGGTGACACAGGCCAGGCCTCTGCTCTGTCACAAGCAAAGCCTGCTGTCATCTGGAGCAAATCCCTATTCCTCCTCCACAAAACAACACAGACTTTCACTGTTCTATGTTGCTTTTATATCCACGGTCCATCTCACATCTGAGGTTAAACATGCTGGACTGCTTAAGAAACTGGCCGAGCTTTCCCTAGAAAGAGTTCAGTCTTTTGGGGAATTCATTCTTAATTTTGTACTATAAAAATCATTTCCCAGAATTAACAAAGCTGATGATCATTATGTACTTTATGAAAGATCTCTGTAATCTCACTCTATAGATAAATATTTTAAAAAGTGCATCCTGTCTCATTGCCAGTGACGCACTATTGCTCCATGGCAACCAGCACACAGGTATGTAATGCCTTTATAGAAAAAAGTAGCGGCTCTATTTTTTGGGGGGAAAGTAGCAAATCAGATAAACTTAATCACACAGGGTAGAAAAAGAAAGAGTGTCAGTTCAAGCTTGAAAGCTAACCAAACAGCATTATCTCTTGAGGAAGAGCTTTGCTCACTGATAGCAATATTATTTATTCAGGAGATCCGTCTCCCCTGTGAAATCTCTTTGACAGATATCAGAACATCACTAGTGTGTTTTGATTGTCGGCACTGGGCATGAATTGAATCTTGCTTTCCAAACATCATCCTTTGCTTGCATCTTCCAGCAGAAGACCGTCTGTTCCTGTGAAGCTGGGACTTTACATTACAGCTACAGGATGCTGATAAAACATGAACCTCTTTTAATGAATAATTCATCCGCTGAGTGCTCATGAATCATGTATAGATTATCTAGCGCATATCTTATTAATAGGATTGTCTTAATTGAGTTGCAGAGAATGAAACAAGGATTAATCTTGGAATTAATATTAAGGAGGTTTCTGGCTGCGGAAGATGACTGCAGTGTTAAAGTACAGCCAAAGAAATGGTTCTTTTATTAAGCCGACATATTGTATAGAATCTCATTTTAAAGTGCGTTATGCACTAATCAGGAAAAGATACTGCAGATATGTGCTTACAATCCCCTCCCAAATTAAATTTAAACCTATAATCATTGCTCTGTGGGAATAATCTAAAACGCATCTATTACGGAGTGGGTTTTATTATATATTATTTTATATTAAAATGTTCTTGAAAAGAAAAAGGGAGTAAAGCAGGAAGAAAACTGTTAAGAAAGATAAGGAACCGTTAACCCGTTACATCAAACAGAAATCAGGATGTAAAGATATTCAAACGCCTCTTCAGTGAGGGTGTCCTGCAGGAGGGCGGCTGGATGAGGGTTCCTGTGCACTCCACTTTAAGCCATTTTTCTCTCCTTTTTCTTTTTTTGATGTTGTCACTCCCAATCTATTCCCACCCTGACAGACAAATGAAAGGCCTGTCCATGTCTGGCAGCTCATTTCGCTGGCAGGCGGCAAACAATTAGACACAGCAAATACAGGCAGGAGGGGGAGTGACATGAAAAGCATGAGACAAAGTTGTATATGTGGGCAGGAGGGTTTGTGTGAAAGCATTTCAAAAATAATACACTTTGGTGTGGCGACTCATTTCAGGCTGCCAGCTCCCATTACGGCTGTGAGCGGTGAGGGCGACAGGGCTGGCCGTGGTGTGGCGTGAGGCCGCGTCTGTTTAATCTGTCATCAACACCCTGGAGACCCCCACCCTCACAGCTGTCCTCTCGCCACATACTCCTTCATCTCCTCTCCTATTCATCAGGCTCACCTCAGCCCAGATCAGCAGCAGCAGAATGCATTAAAAAGAAGGGGAGGCCTCATTGTTCCTCGTGACTCAGTGTGTCCTCTGCTGTCGCTCTGAGGCCTGGCAGTGCTTACGCGGACACACAAAAACTTCCAAACAGTGGTGTTCAGAGAATATGGGGAGATTTTGTTTGTGCTAAACCAAGTCAAATTACTTCCACAAAAATAATCATTTCCAAAACTTTCCCCACCGTAGGAGACAGGGATCAGGGGGAGCTGAAGCTTCAAATCCCTACAGGGGCAGGTTTGTAAACTCCTGAATCCAGAAAGATTACTGTGTGGTTTTATCTAATCCACGAATGTAAATACACCACAGCAGTGCCACACTGCTTCTGAGACCTTTTCAAACACAGGAATTCCTTACTGCCGAGGAGAAGAAGGAATAAAGTGGCCTGAAATGAATTATGCGTTACATGCTCCTTAGAAACCATTAGTGGTATACTGGAGAATCCGGATAAACCCAGAGTATACAAATCAGCATTTTACACTCACTTGGCTGAAATAAGATACAAACAAAAACAAACACATTTTTATAGATGTAAAAGCCTGAAAGCTATCCTCACAAACTGATACAGCCAAACATCTCATAATTCTTGTTGTATGGTTCAATGTACCGTAATTTTTAGTTTTTGGCTTTAATAAAGTCAATTTTTCTTTTAACTATTTACAACTCATGATTATTTAAAAAAAACATCATGGTATTCTATTGAAGTTCTTGCATCCTTCCAGCACCTGTATTTACTGCAATTTTAAATGCCAAGTGTACAGTTTGTAATTACTGTACAAGGCTTTCTCCCATCTATGCAGAACAGTTTGTCTTTATCTATTTCTTTGAGGTTTGAATATCGATCAGCAGACCCTTGACCTCTGCAAGAGATCACAGTGAAGTCTACATTAAATGTCCTTCATGGTTACATAGTAGCTGTACAAGAAATGTATTTGAATAATGTAAAGACTAAACTAGAAGCCAGATAAATTACTGACATGTTCTACAAAACACAAGCTAAGAGCAGCAGCAAGGTTTGCAACACTGATCATTTTGATGTTATATATTCATGATTTGTTGGCTAATGTTAGTGCAGATTTATTGATTTGTCTGTTTATTATTTTTAGTGATTCTCGGTACAACTGAAGTCACCTCCTCACCTGTCAAAGGAGTGAAACTGCATGGGCAGCACGGCCTGGGCCTGGGCCTTGGCAGCAGGGTCTTGGTAGGTCACGGCCTCCAACCCAGCCTCCAGGCCCTCCACTGGAGCTGCCACCAGGCTCTTCAGGATCTCCTTCACGTTGATACCCCTCTTGGGCTGGCTGATGCTGATGATGGAGGAGGATAATTTCAAGTGCTCTACGCTGGGTGATTCAGACAAACGCTCCTGGGACTTCTTCATCTCGGAGGACAGAGTTGATATGAGCTCACTCATGGCATCAGGTCCGGCCACACTGTGGTCCAGGTCTGACCCGTTAAGGATGCTGGGACAATGCTCGTCTCCGATACCGGAGTCTGTGCGGGGAAGGGAGCTATCCATGTTGAGGTGTTCTGATGGCACAGGATAGTCCCTACTGCTGTTAAATACTAGAGGTGTTTCTGTAAACACAAACACACACACACACACACACACACACACGAAGAGGTAGTTTACAGATCGACAAATAGAAAAATATTTACAGAACTAACAGCATTAAAGTACAAAATTTCAACTGTGTTGCATTTGAACCTATTCTTTAAAAATATTGATTTCCATTTTTTGTTAATTATCATTCATGAGCAATGATTTAGTCGATAACATATTTATTCCTAAAAGCTCGAGCTCAACAGAGTTCTTCAAATCTTTGTTGTATAAAAATTCCAAAACGTTTCATACAACATAAATCAAACCGTTCCATCAGAGACGTTCTAATACAGAATCTAATATTTCACTGAATCTATGAGCTTATTGCAATGTCAATCCCTCCACTACGTTATTCAACATATCAAGCATTTTTACCATATTTAGCCTTCAAACAACATTGGTCTAGAGAAGTAAGCAATGGAGATTTCAAACAGATTCACTTGAAGCCAATCTTAATGAGAGAAATGCATTACAGAGCTCACTTAACATTCATAATCAAAGAGCAAATTTAGCTTGAGAAGAATGAGCCATGTGGTAATGCAGTGTCTTAGATCTCTCTCCAGAAACTCTGATCCTCTGGTGAGATTATCTCTCTGTTATTCTCCCTCTATGCTAATAAAACATGAATCCCTTACTTCAGCTTCCTCCTGCCTAAAGCGTTCGGAGGCAGATCTATTTAACTGATTAGAAACAGTGACAGGAATCAGAAAGCTGCTCTATTATTCTAGTGCATGATACATTATACACTGAGCCACCGTCTACTGTATATTACATTATATTCTGTTTAAATTCTATGTACATAACAGGCTTAACGTGCACTAGAAATCTGCAATATTCTGCTTCTTCACACAGGAGGATTTTTTGTCTATTCACTGTGATAAAATGCTGATTTTCAAAAAAAAACAAGCAGAGGTGTTTTTTTGATCCAATTTTGGTTCATCCTAGCTCCGTATTTACCCAGATGTAAGGCCCAATTGATATCAATATTCATCACATGCCCCTTAACGAGGTCAGCAGGGCCTGATTTAGCCAGCAACTCGCCTAGCTTCCTGGTTCATCAGACAATCCCCTGCCACATGCCGTCTGGGAAAAATCCCCTATTTTCTGGTGAAATTTATGAAGGCTGCAGTGTGCCTTTCTCCTCCCAGCAACCTCTATGATCCCATTCTCCTCTGGTGGATTGCTTGCCTAATGGGCACTGACAGATGGGCTGAAAATAGCAGGGCTGGATACACTGCCCCAAAAACCCACAGTAGTTGGTCAGCATGCTGCTGCCTTCTCATTTCTCAACTTCTCACTGCTCATCTCCACTTTTTTGTTCTCTGTGTTCCGAGCCAACCAAAAAACACTTTCATATTTCCGTCAGCCTCTCCCCTCTTCCTCTTGTTTCTTTTATTCACTGTAGCTTTTGTCTAAATGAAAGTTGATGACGTATGCTCGCTCGTGCATCTCATAATAGGAAGTTGGCACTGCAGCAGACATTACTTTAAACCTTTGTAGGCATCCACTGATTTCCTTTCAAGTGACTTAATGCATGATTAATGACTAGAGGCACAAACTACCTTTCATTTCAGAGAGAAGGATGATTCCTATTCAAGTTGATAACTACCATCTCAAGCCCCAGTCCCCATTTGCTTCCACATTTAAATTCTGCAAGGTGCAATTAGCCGAGTTCATAAATAAACAGTGTGTGAGCCCGTGGAACACAAGCAGGATATCCCTGCTTTTTTTCTGAATGGCTCTCATCTGAGCTGGCAGCAGTATATCACAAAGGAGCAGGGACAGCACACATTCATTTATATCACACTCAGCACAACTTAGACGAGAAGGGCAGGAAGAATGGATGGAAGAAAGGTAGAGCACAGCCGTGAACACCTTTGCTGGTTGGCGAGTTGATCCCCGGACGCACACCGCGACCTGATTGGTTGGTTATCCTTGCAGTCTCACGCTGAGGCTCCAGGATGTCACGGTACTTGGAGACCATGAGCACAGAGATGAAGTACACCACAGCCAAGGCCAAGAACTGGGCCTGCTTGCTGTCATCCTGTGAAGAGAAGTCAAAACACAGTTTCTCTCTATTTAGCCAATCTCATTTAACTGATCCACTGAGTTTGTTTTCAAATGTTCTCTTGAGGCAAAACACATCTGAAGTGCTGAAATGATTCTCTGAAAAATGCAGCTTTAAAAATATACCAGCTGTATAGTTGCTATGTCACCTGTACTTGTCTGAAGGCTTTTGCATTGCACACCAGTTTATCTGGCAAAGGAAGATTCCTGTTTTCATCCTCTCTACCCACAGCTGAATCTTAGTGACATGGACTTACCACATCACGAAACACCACAGCACGCAGTCGATTGATGTCCACATCCTGCAGAAGGCGATCTGGGTCCTTGATGGGAGACAGGTTACTAGGGACAGTCTCTATGGCTGTCTAAAGCAGAGAGATAGCACAATATGACATGCTACTCTGCTCAGTTAAAGATCAGTCAAATCATTTCCTGCTATTACTTTTTTCTATTTATATTAATTTGATGCACTAACAAACAACCTAAATGTAACTAAAGAAAATCTGCCACACTTTCAGTAGTTTAGGTGAATAAATTAAGAATGGAAGGAGAAAATAAAAGGTGGCGCTACTCAGGTTACTCAATAAGCTTGGGGCAAAGTGTGCTTTAAGTAAAATACACTGTTAAGATGAAATGTTCAAAAAGAGATGAGGGACACAGGAAGCAAAGTTGTGACATCACATCCTACCTTGCTGGAAGTCACAGCATTTAGCAGGATTTCCTGAGTCTTGTTGTTGTTGGGAATAGAAGACTTATTTCCCTTGTCTCTGTGTCTCTGCCTGCACTCAAGACAACTCCGAACAGCCACACAACACACTGCGCGCGCACACACACACACACACACACACACACACACACACACACACAGCATACAAAAGGCTCTCATTTCAGAGTTAAATGGAAATTAAATGTCTATAACATGCATGACCTCCTTTGAACTAATCACTTCTCTCTGATGACTGTTTGTTCCAGGCTGCCGGGGCACAGACCGGGAGTCAAATCAGAAGCCAGACTGATTTCACACCGAGTCAGTGATGGGAAATTGTATGCTTGCAACAAGGACACTGTGAAGTCTGAAGGGCTATTTCCCATCCCCCAGAGAAACAACTTGAAGTCAACAATGTAGCAAACACAGGCTTGTACACACACACACACACACACACACATGCAGAGGTGCAAACAGATATAGACATATATAGATATAGACATTGACACAATCTCAGTCTCCCACTAAAATGCACAAATACACATTTTCTTTGCTTGCTTTATGTATTATATATTTTTACTAGGACATTACAATACATGAATTTAAAGTAGTTTCAATTAGCGTTTCATATCATTCTGAACTAAGCAGTAATCTGCATTTCATTAAAACGTTATTCATCAAATCTCTATTATGTACACATACAAAATCAAACACACACACACACACACACACAAGGCTAGAGAGGACCTAGAGGAGTCCGTAGAGACACACCAATGACAGACACAAAAGGCTACTATTTGCAAAGTGTACACGATTGAACTGCAAATTATTCTCTCTTCTCGATATGAATTCCAAAATGAGGATTCAGTCTTTTATTCATCTTAAAACTGCGGCAAAACCCTGCACATTTTCCAATTAAGTAAACAATTAGCAAAAGACTCTTAAATTAATTAGCTTAGCTGATCAAACAGAGGATTTTCAGGGATTAGAGGAATTATTAGACTCTGTGAGGAGAATACTGTCATGGCATTTTCCAGCTCATCAATTTTCCAGCAACTCTTAAAAAAGCCACATGAAGATGCTGTAATTGTTTCTCCTCCCCACCGCACTGAAGTGACATTCAAATGTGACATTCACACAATCATGACCTTACCAAGTCTGAGGCACTGACGCATCAGGCCACCCGAGGACATGTTCTTCTCAGCCTCGATCTCACTGAAGTTGAGTGAGCTGGAGAACACCAACACATCCACCATGACCATGAGACGGGACAGGAAAGTGATGGCGGTCTCGGAGGACATGCCCTGTGTGGCCTCGATGTTGTCCAACTCCGTCTTTCAGAAGTCACAAAGACAGAAGGAAACTTTTTTTTTCATGATTATCAAAGGCTACATTCACAGTGCAGGCAAAGTGACCCAAATACAAGTTATTTTTTTGCACTTGTGACTCAATTCAGATTTATTTTTGACAGTTTGGAGAGAAGTTAATAGAATTGTTCTTTTCGTCTCTTCAAATCAGATTTGTGCCACAATCATATGTGGTCCTAAATGAGATAGAAGTTTTGGGCTGACACTTCTGGACCAGCACATCTTGAGTGTCATATCGGCCTAAGTTCGCTTCCACAGAAATGGACGTGGCCACAGAAGAGCATGGCTTCAGTGTTAACAAGTCCTGAAACGAGGTTAATAGAAGCGAAGGACCAAACCAACTCTGTGATATTGGTCGGATAACCTGCCTGTGAACTCAGCCGTTAAATTTTAGAGCTGCTTGATAGCTCTGTCAATAAAGGTGAAGAGGAGTCTGAAGCTCCAGAGAGCAGACTCAGTTCAGCTGGCAACCACAATATTACATTTGAAACAGGTAAATTGACAAGCTGCCTCTAGGCTGATTAAAGACCAGGTAACATTTACTTTACCATAAGCATAATAATTGATTATTTACTAGTAGTTTCTTTTAATGGCTGAAACTGCTGTAGGTGTCAGACCAGAAGATTACCAGCCTGCTGCAAAAACCCTTTTTTTTAATTCAAATCAAACAGGCATACGTGTTGTGCCAGCTCCCTTCTTCTTTGTTTGAAAACATGCAGAGGTTGAAAAAGGGAAATCATTTAGATTTGTACAGAAGAATAGCACAATGAACTGAACACTAAATATTACAATGGCTCGTGAATACAGTGTCAAGTTATTTGAGCAAAATGAATATTGCATTTATCCTGATCTTGCCACTCTAGTTATGCACTGAAAAGAATAATCAGAAATGAGCACAAGATTAATTTCAGTTCAAGACTTGAAAATGAATGTGATAATTAAAGTAGATTCATAAAAGCTAATATGAATGACGCACAGAGGGGTTAATAACAGATGTGAAATTGTACCAAAGTCATGTAGTCAGCATTAATTGTAGCAGAATGAAGCTGAGAATAAAGTCTTATTTCCCACAGGACACTCTGTTGTGTAGTCAACAATAAAACCACAAATCAAACAGTTACAATAGACTACCACTAGATGGCATTGTTCCCCAGCAGTGAAGACAGGGAGGCTCACTTACAGAGGGAGAGGTGGCCGCTGATAGAAGAGGCAGGATCCCTCCACAAGCAATAATGATATTGTCCACCATTTGTGAGATAAGGTGGATGGTGTTGTGGACAAAAATGATGTTCTCGTTACTGTTGACAAAGTCCATGACAGACTTGGTGGAGTGGCTGAAGGGAAAGAAGGAAAAAACATCTGAATTATTACAGGTCCCAGAATTCTTCACTTTATGAAAATATCCTGTTGACTTGGGTTAAATTTAAAAAAATACATTTAAGCAGTATTGAAAATCTAACAGTTATAATATGACATGTTAGCTCTGATGTAGAAAAGTTATCTATTTATCATCACAAGCACCCCTGTCTCTTTGTCTCAATCATAAGCATATCAACGAACAACACACACCTTCTCCAGACATGCACGTCACTCTCAAGTGCAAACAGCAGGTCAGTCAGCAGTCTCTGGTGCATGGCTGACCATTTGAACTCCGGGATGCGGAACATGGTGGTACGTGGGCCCGGGCTGAACTGATGTCGCTGTTCCTCTGTCATGGGCATTACCCTGAAGCCCAAATCCATACGTATGTCCCTCTCCATCTGAGTAGCTGAGCGGCCATGTTGACTCTGACATGAGACCAATAAATGAGTGAAAGACGACATCATGAGATACTGTAAACAAGCTTTCTCATCCTATCATTCTGCTCAAACTGATGGTGCACCTTAAGGAGATATAATGCTACTATCATTCGATTGGCTATGAATGATGAATTGCCAGTCCTTGAATAGCCTCTGCTGGCTGCGGGTAAAAAAAATAAATACAACAAGCTCAATGCAACCTCTAAACATAAGATGAATGAGTCAGCAAGGTGCTGTAAAAAAGCCTGTTTAGAAAACAGCAGCGATGAATTGAACATGAGCAGTTATGCACAAGCAGTGAGAGGTTTAAAATTAAACCTTGCCTCCCACTGGCCCTCTAGCAGTGACCCAGTCTAGGCAAAGGACCCGGCCTCTGAGAAAGAGCACAGCTCATAAGAGAGGAGAGGAGCAATGAACTAATCCCAGGCGGTTGCTGCAGAATAATGCTTTGTCTATTTCTGCCCTCCTGATGGTTCATTCCACTCTTCTAGCAGTCCGTCTCACAGGGACGTTACTCCATGTGCACTAGGCCTTCCTGGCCCCATTACAACCAGAGTTGGGACAGAGAGTGATCCCTATGGGTCCGTTAATAAAGAAATGTTCACCAAAGGCCAACACACCCTGACAGTAGCAAACGGTCTTCCTCCCTGCTTCCCTGTATTTGACCCTGAGGCGGCAATGTTTCAACAGTCATGCTCGTCTTCTCTTGTATTTCCCTCTGGCTAAGCTTTCCTGTTATATTGAAGCTAGTGAAGTCAGAGAACCTCTACCATATCTTTCAGGAGAAATTCCAGAAAGTCAAGACAAATATATTTCTAAAGCACAGTTTAAAAGAATTGAGTGTAAGCCAAAGACAGACAAATGAAACAATATAATCCCACAATACAAATAAAGCTCACACCAGGCAACAAAAATGATTAAAAAAAAAATGGTAAATAGGAAAAGGTTGTTATTAGTTCATGCAAATTGACTCATCCTGTAATATCTAACAACAAAAGTCAGCTTCAGACCAACCTGTGTGGTGGCTGTTGTCTGAATCCTCCTCATCTCCTTGTCTTTGCTGTCATCTGATCTGTCTGTGTCTACGCTTCTGCCTTCTGACTCTGCTGCCCTGCCAGTCCTGACATTCAGGGGGTCCCGTTCAGATGCAGAGGCAGCTGGGGCGTCTGCGACCTGTGGGCTTCTAGAGGAGTCCTCTGACTCAGTACCAGCCACAGAGCTGATTCCCTCCAACGCTGCCTCTAGTTCAAACTCATCCTTCTCTAGAATGCTGGGTAACGAGCCGAGCTCAGAGCTGCTGGTCATTTGAGCAAGAAGGCCCAGATCATCCTTGGTGTTGGTGTGTACTGGAGGCTCTGCGCTGGGCAGGACCAGAGGCTCAGCTGGACGGAGATCAGGCAGCAGCTTGTCCTCCAGGCTGGCTGCCACCTTGCTGAACAGGAAGTTGTTGCTGTTAGAAATGCTGTCCTTTTCGTCGTCTAGAGTAATGAGAGGTGGTGCATTTTGGTCATCCATGCTGCCCTTTGGCAGCAATACACTGTTGGCATTACTGTGGAGGTTTTTTACAGCAGCGCAATACACATTATCCAACAGAGAATCCACCTCCACTAGTGCCCCATTCTGAGATAATCCCAGAGTTTCCAAGGACAAATCCATATCGTCTATCTTAACCTCTGTGGCCTCCACCTTCTCAGCCTTAATGTCTACCAGAAGGTCATGAACATCGACCCCGACTCCACCTATGGTACTGTTCTTTCCACTGAGACCCTCCGCTGGCCCCTTCACTTCAGCCAGCAGGTTGTGTGGGTCAGCACTCTCATAGTCCTTTTCACTCTCCGGGGTCTGGGAGTTATCATCCATTTCTCTGATCTCAACAGCTCCCTTGATGCCAGAGGACTGAGCAGACAGACCAGAGATGGTGCTGACCAAACCCTTCTTCCCTTTCTTAATATTCTCCTCCTCCTGACGCTGATACTCTTCATACATCTTAGCCAAATACTCTTTGTGTGCCTCGTATGTCACCTATAAAGAGGGCCACAATAAAGAAAATGTTAACAACCTAAATTTAATGCAACTGTAAAAATCAGATGACCCATTATCAGTAAGATAAAATATTTCCCTACAGCAGATGCTGAACAAGAAAAAATGAAGATTCCCTTGAGGTTAGAAGAGCGAAGTGCCTTATGCCTGCATTTTTCTACTGGCCAGCAGGGGGCAACTCGTCTTTTGCAAACAAGTCCGATTGTCTGTGTAACACACTTGATGTTACTTAGAAATTACTTACCTCGTTATTGTTTGGTCTCAATCACTAGTTTTAAGGTTTTCAATACAGCACCATGTTCATTTTTAATTATGGTGCTCCATTCTGCTTTAAGGCACGGCTATCTTGTGGTTGATAAATAACCCAATGCTCAACATCAGGCTTAAAACAGGAACCCACAAATCAGTGGGTTACATTACATTACTCACCTTTGAGTGGGCTATAGAGAGTGTGTCCACCCACACCCGCCATCCTCCCCACTCATACTTGATGGCATGGTAGAGAAGAATACGGAAAATGTTGTAGACCATCTCAGAGATCTTCTGCTCGTCTGAGTTTTTGGGGTTGATGTAGCCCAGAGAAAACATCCAGTCCTGCCACACAGAGCACTGAAGCAGACACCTGCAGTGTACACATTACCACAAAATCAACACACAAAATCCACCTTATGTTGGCCATTGATTAAGGTTACGTTAACTTGATCTTGAAGCAGGTGTATAATATAAAGTCCACGTTGTTTGCAAATTTTTTAATTTTTCTTTCTCTTCTTCTTCAAAACCTTTATAGGGCAAATAAAGCATTGGGGTTGTAATTTTAATGTATGTTACAACATGTGTTTGAAATAATTTAACCTCATATATATTGTTTGTCTGATTGTTATTGGAAGCAACTAAAAATACAAATCAAAAAAGGGCATAGAGTGAAAACAAATGAAGGTATTTTTCAATATAACCCAATCAAGGACATTCAACCAATTAATCCAAAGTTAATCATGTTATTGATTTTGGTCAGAGGTTTAGAGAATTCAGATTTAATTGCAATTTGGATTTCACTTTATGTGCTTGTATCAGAAGGATGGTTTAAAAAATAAAAAAGAGAAGGCTGGAGTAAGGCACTGCCAAAAAGTGGAAAAGAAACATCTGCAGGAGAACATGTGCATGTGTAAGGATGATTTAGCACCAGTAAGAGCCTATTAGACATGACACAGGAGCGACCATGTGCCTTCATTCTCTTGTTGTGATATATTAATCAGCATGATAATTGAAGGAGCAGGTAAAGTAAAAGTCGTGTGTACCGCCTGTTTTCTCGGCTGCTGCTGAACAGTTTGATCATGTCGGAGAGGAAGATCCGCCGGACCTCCATCAGCTCTGTGCTGGGGGTTGAGTTCTTCAACAAGGTAGCTACCACTTTGAGAATCACTGAAATAACAAGCAAGCAAAAACAAATACATCTTGTTACATTTTTCAGGAGGACTGGAGGAGTATCTTTGGAAAGAATAAAGCTGAACTTACTTGGGTTCTGAATCTTGACAGTGGAGTCGGGCTCAGGGTGGGGTTTATGAACTACCTGTGTGCACACCTGCTCCGTCAGAATCTGGTGTGAGGAATCGTGAGTAAGGAATGGTTACAGGTTCTTTACACAGAGACCAAAGCAGTTATATAGTGACATTTGAGAGGAAAATAGTTTGTTACCTCATACAGAGTGTTATAGGTCGTCACCGTCACAGTGTTGGTGTACAGCATTAACTTCTCTCCCAGGAGAGTGAAAAGACTGTGTGTGTGCATGATCTCCACCTTCCTCCTGTGGATAAACACACACACACACACACACACACACACACACACACACACACACACACACACACACACACACACACACACACACACACACACACACACACACACACACACACACACACACACACACACACACACACACACACACACACACACACACACACACACACACACACAGGTAAAGTGCTTTGTTGCTTTGTTTAGAGCTGCCTAAGCCACTGAAAGGATCAGTGAGTGCCGTCTGCTTGCTTCCATATTCTCACCTGTGGGGAGCACTGCTCTGGAGACAAGTGTCAGAAAATGCCTGCTGTCATAAATTGGGGGAATTTTGTTGGAGGTGTGCAGGATAACGAAGTTACTCTGTCACTAGGCATGGCTCCAAGAAACAAAGGCAGTGTACCACAGGTGAGCGGGTTCAACACAGACAAACTACTTGTGCAAAGAGCACAAGAACTGCTGTCACAGTGATATGCCAAAGCTGCTTCTACGACCTCGAGAACTGTTTCCTAATAAGTCCACGTTTTTTTGTGTTTTTCAGAGGATGGCAAATTGGACACTTAGGAGAGGAGAAGCATTTCTCTCAACTGTATAAATATGGAAATACAGGAGAAAAGGGCAGACTGATGATGCATAGCCAGCTGAGGTGGAATTTGTGCAAATTTGCTCTGCAAAAAATAAAAAAGTGGGAGGACTACCTATTTTTAAAAGCTTTCATGTGTGCAGATGAAGTCACTCATTTTCCCTGAATATAGATTAAACAATCAGTTTCGACAGTATGAATATGAAAGCACTCCTTTTGAAACAATAATCAAGGATTTGTGCTCTTCAGTGAGAAGAGGTTAAATACACTGCAGTAAAATGGATCAGGTATTCACGGCAGGGAGAACATTTGGTTCTAAAACTAAAAAATAAGCAATTATAGATATTTCATGTCCATTTTTTTGTTTCTGAGAAGATTCTTGCAGATACAAAAAGAACATTTCAGCACGGTATAATGCACTTATCTTTTATCCCAAACACTTCACTTGTTTTGTCCAGCATGGTACCAAAAAAGTCTTAACTAGCAGAACAAATGTGAAGATCACGTGTCAGCTTTAACTCAACCCCAGCAAAACTAACATTATCCAGCATCACTGGAGCAATGAATGTGAAATGACAAATGAATGAATCAAAAAGTAATAACATCAACAAAGCTTGGAAGAAACATGTTGAATTCTTAATGAGTCGTAGTAAAGCCCAGAGTTAACCAAGAAGATGCTTTCAAATCTATGAAAGCTATATATGAAATAAAGGGGTGGAAGGGCAGGCTTTTATGAAACTCTCATGTCTCTTGAGTATTTAGGCCTTTTGCTTGCACCTGGGGCAGTCCAGCTTTGCACTCAGCAGACACCAGTTAAACACCACAGCACCTGGTGCCAAGCCATTGTGAGCACAGCAAAAGCCCCATATCTCCTCCATCCATCCATCCCTGCATCCTGCATTTTGAATTAAAGGCTCTCCACCCATAGGCAGTCTCTCTCTCCTCTCCGATGTGCAGCTCATGGACGATATTCTGACATCCTACTGGGTCATTTATTATTGATTTGACTCTGTGGGACAGTAACTTGGACTTCTCTCACCTTTTAGGTGAATTAATGGTTTTAGGGCACAAAGCCAGGAATTCAGGTGTTCTGGAGAGAAGAGAACCTCTTTCTTTCTTTATTTTTGCAAAGCTGGAATCCAGTCAAAAGTTTTTTGGCTCTTGTAATTGTACCTTTCTTTAAAAAAGGATGGCAGTGCAGCTAAATCATCTCTATGCATTTTAAAACTGATTCATGATTCTGCAGTCATGAACAGCAGCATAAATCAAAATGTTTTTCAAAAAGAAATGAAGAAACCAGTTTATATTTTAGAACATCTGACTATTCATTATAAAAACACTGAGAATGTATGACTAAAACCTACGACCCAGTTATTGGTGTGCGACACTTACTTGTGGCCCAAATGCTTGAGGAAGTACCCGAGGACTTTGAGGGATTGCACTCGTATGCTTTCACTCTTAGAGGCCATCAGCTTGTAGATTACCCTGGAATAGACACAAGCAGCGAGAGCTGGCAACAGCACACTGTCTTGACAGAATAACATATATCCCCGTTGATGAAAAGGCCCAGCACTGGTTAGCTGACAACCACTTTCCTTCAGGGAGAATTTACATCAGGATTAAATAAAGGTTCTAATGAAAGCAGCAGTCTTTCCACAATGAATTCCTCAGAACTCACAAGAAGTGCATTTATATTTTATAGGATCACATAAGGTAGGCTTGATCATCCGTGTCATAACGTGAAATCAATATGTTAATGCCGTTACTTTTCCATGCATAGGTTTTTTTTCCCCCTAACTGATCATATGAATTATTCATACAGCCCAAAAGCACACAGCAACAGCAGAAGTGTTGGTTGCTTGGGGTTTATTTTGTGAAATCACCTCTTCATTTTGTGCCTGAACAGCGGAGGGATTGTGTCTTTCCCTGAGGGGCTTACCGTATTCCATTTCTCTGGTCAAAAGCAGGGATCATGGAGGCTGGATGCTCAGACATGAGCGCTACCACCAACTGCAACACATCATGCAGATTCTCATCCTGCACCAGCAGAGAAAGACAATGAGACAAAACATAATCAAACCAAGTGAGTGAAGAGAAGGGATGCACTCTTTGTTCTCTTTAAGACTCTGGAACTGCAAGTGCAGCAAAGCCATTTTGTAAGTGCCTTACTATTGTACGTACTGCAATCGCAAAATACACCTGCTCCACTGTTACAGCTGACACAGGGGAAGTATTCGGCCAATGCTATTTAAAGTGATTCGTTCATCTTGCTGGTTAGTCGAAGTACTTGAAATAAATCAACTGCTCTCAGAATAGCAAGACTAGAGAGGAAATGTGACCTTGAAGTGAAGTGCAGAATCGTGGCACACTTCAATTCACTCAAGAGTAGAGACATGTTTACCTCGTGTATGGTTAACAAATAGTTCAGGATGCTCTGCAGCTCATCCTCCTTCACACCTCGGTCCTAAAGTATGCAAAAAGAGGAAAACAGAAATTAAATCAAATCATGTTCCAGGAAAACAATTAGAAAAGGGTCATTGCGAAACAAACATCAGAGAACTTTTCATTTTGGCAAAGTGGGTATATGAGATATGAGATTATTGGAGGATGATCACTAAGTGTTTTGACGTCCACACCTTGGGGGAGAAATTGATGCAGCTGTCAAAAGAATTAAGGACTCTACAACAAAACAGACTGATCAGATTAGCGCTTGTTTGCCTAAATCCTGGTGATAACATTTAGACATCAATCCTGTTTCTTCACTGCAGGTAGCAGCCCTCTTATTCCTGCCATCCCCTGATGAGCCTGAACACGGCAGCATTATCGTTAAGAGATAAACATTCTGGTGTGTGGCAGCAAATACAACGTCTGAAAATGCCAGTACTGAAAAACTAAAATACTTCATTGAAGAGTATTTCTTAGTCTAGTACTGTACCGCATGTATTATTGATTAGGCTATCACAAGTTAAAGCCTTCATATATTCAGTACCACAGCCAAATAACAATAAATACCTGTCACAAAGTTGCAAAGCAAACAGTCTGATAAATATTCAGCAAACCCAAAGGGAGGTAATTAGAAGTAATTGAAGCAAAGAAAAGTATCAATTTGTCTCATTTGTAAAGCTGGAACTGAACAATGTTTGGTGTCTGTACTGGATAAATGACTCAAATGTTTAAATAATGATCAAGATCTGTCATTTATTAATTTCCACTTTACTAATGAATTCACTGAATTAGTCGGAGCACAACTGGTTTCTTCCGAGCACACACACGAAGAAGAAATGAAGTAAACAGCTCTGAATCTATCAAGGTGAAGACTGGCAGAACCTTTTAAAGGATAACACAGCGAGAATTGACAATCTCCAGATTTCCTCAGCGCAGCTCAAAATCAAGCCGTGTGAGGGGGCTGTGAGGCATGAAGACAGGTGGGATATACCTTCAGGATGAGTTGCTTGAGGAAGAGAAGCATGAACGCCCGCAGAGAAATTATTTCTTTCTGGGTCGGCCTTGGACCATCTGTATTTGGAGAGAGAGAGAGAGATAGAGAGAGAGAAAGATAAGCCATAATCTTCAGTAATAATGTATCAGAATTTAAAATCCTTGATTTCTCTGTTCCTCAGTCTTCTCTATATTTTAATGATTTAACTGAATGTTATTCTTAATTATTAATTTACCTTTATTCTACCAGTAAATCCCATCAAGATTAAATATATATATTTTACAAGACAGACCTGGCCAAGCTAGCCACCATGCCAAATAACAAATATACTAAAAACACAAACGTGGAAAAAAAATCACATAATTTCAAACAGATATTCAAATACACGGTGGCCTTTCAAGACAAAAACAACCATATGCAACTGTCCCCATGTCCCTATGATATTCTTAACTTTGTTAAGAGACATCCGTGTGTCTAAATGTACCCTAACCCTTTATGAAGGTTATTCAGTGCATTGTAGGAATTGTATAGCAATAGCTTTTATCTCCTTGTGCAGCTCATCAGATTCATGCTCTGTATTTGTATGTTCAAAATAATGGTCCCTATTAAGTGAATAAATTCAAATTCTGCATTTGTAGTGAAGCGAAGAGATGCATGCTACACTAAGTCAAGGGCCCAAAAAGCAGCTGAGGATGTTTGGGTATATAATATGTCCTCATAATAAATCGCAGCGATACATTTAAGCTTTTAAGATATGGAGGTCCTTATCTTCCGTCTGATTGATAATGAGATTTCTAAAAAAAAAGAAAGAAAAAAGAACAGGTTTCCTCCTTTGTACGTTTGGAGAAACGAAAGGCAGCAAAATCTTCTTCAATTTCATATCCAGTTTAATCACACTTGGAATCACCTTGAATATGTGTGTGGAGAGTTTAGCCCAGTACCACCAACAACCAAGTCAGAGAGCTTGACACATACAGTCAGCCTCCCAGGAGAACGTGTACATTAAAAAGTCTGGGAGAATAAATTGTATAAACATAGCATGCTCTAAATTCTGAGTATTCAACCTAAAATGTATTTATCATTCATGCTGCATCCAAAGTCCGTGTGTATCCCAGGTCTTGGTCACAACGTAGTTCCCAGGCTGCCTGCCCAAGGTCAGCAGAGCCTCACTTCCCATAACTCCAGCCAACATCTCATTAAAACAACCCAGAATGCCTCTGCCAACTTAAGGTCACTTTGGCACACAAGGAAGCATAATATTGCAATCCATCCCTGTCATGAAGCGTATTCACTGTGTGACGGGTCTAACCGCTGTCAGCCGGGGAATGTATGTCCTGCAAATAAAGAAGAATGACAGAATATGACAGTTGATATAGATTAACTGTCAGATTACTGCGCTGCTGCGGCTTAGTTGGCACAGGGATTAATTGTGACTCGGTCAGACCCTTTTCAATACACTGAGCTCTTTTGTTTTTAAACAGAAAGTGTTTACACAAACACTGAGTAAGCACATTGATGGGCTTCAGCAACAGGCAGATCAACACAGCACAGAGCTATTCAATCAAACACATCAGGAAATACAGGATATTACATATAGCATACTTTACCGCTTACAACAATGCAAACATGAACCCGCATTAGATTAGTAGCACTTGTCAATGTAGCACAAAGGCTCCATTTTTGGCTGTGAGACCTGGCATACATTCATTCATTTCTTATTCATCCTGTGCAGCCAGCCAGGTAGAAACACAGAGACACAATCTCTTACGTTTGCAGAGGTATTAAATGGAAGTAACTGGGCCAAACACAACAGCCTTTCTCAGGGAGTTCGTCACTTTGCCAAATGCCTTTCTTCTCTTCTCAGAGCTGATAAACTTCCACCTCCACCTCGGCTGGACACATGTTCCTTTGAAGCGAGGACAGTGCCATGATGACAGATACAATGGCAGCAGACACCTGACCATCCTGCTGCTACAACAGCCAGTCAATGTAATCAATGATGAGGCTCCCTGAGGTTGCAGGAGGATGGCAAGTGCTCCTGCATCGTGACACTGATTAATAGAGAGAGAGAGGAAAACCCAGAGCAGGGACTGAGCCTGACATGGAAGGGATGATAAGAACATTATTACGGCAGCCAATGCATCCAAGTTATTCACAACCAATTATGCTCAGCAGCTCTGCACAGCTCTTGTTTCTCGTTCACATGTTGCTTTACTTCCTGCATCCCAAGGGCACCAGGAGAAAGCGTTTATTGGAAAACAATTTATGTCCATGTGATTAATGCAGGAATACTTATTCGGCTTATGACTGATGATAATAAAGTCACTGCATATACAATAGAATTAGGTCTGTATAATCATGCCAACCTTTAAGTAGGGAACAGGAATAAATAGAGCTTTGCTTCCAGACGCTTACAAATAAACAAAAGGATGACAAAACCCTTTAATGGAACGAATATTGTTAATAGAAGCAGAAATAATGACTTTGTAGAGTTCTTCTTAAGTTATAGCAATCGCCTGTTTACCTGTTTTCTGTTTAAAGCATGTGGAGTGTGTCAACAAAAAAACTGCATTGACTAAACATTTCATAACACAGGGGCAAACATAAAGGTGAAATTCATTAAAAATGAATGGTTAAGGCTCCCCATCACACTATCGTTTCTAATGCACCACCAAACCTCCAATTGCTCGAGTGGATTTCCCAGGTGTATAATGTATGTTCATTTTTATGATGGTATTTTCCCCAGAAGTCCTATGAAGATTCAAATCTCTTCAACAAGAAACCACAGTCCAAAGTACCATCTGAACTTAATTAAAGCAAATTCAAATAGGACATCAATATAGAAAAAGATACAACAAGAGAAAGAAGACCATACCATCTGTCAATAAAATCCAATATTTTACTGTTATCATTAATTCAATGTTACAGCAGATTATTTTTATACAAGAATCAAATCCACTACACCTTAAAGATCCTGTCAGGAGCTGATAACTGGTTATGAAACAGACAGAAATGAATGTTGACGCCTCTTGATGACCATTTCTGCTGTCAAAATCCACTTTTACATTTCCGGTGTGTATGGGACTTCTTTTGGAGCCAGATTCAGGTCAACACTCAAGAAACTGCAGTTTTTTTGTACCACCAAGTTGGCTTAATTTTTCAACAACCAGAGGTTGCCAACTTGCCACTTGTTCATGACTCATTATAGAGTAAAATCGAGGCAGGGCAGAGACAGAGATAAAGGGAGAGTGATCAAGATTGAGACATATTATATGGTGGCTTGTGTGTACATATCACTGACTGAGACAAGTTGAGCAATGGGGCATCTGTCTGCTCAGCCTGCAGTGATTCTGGGCATCACTGAATGATACATGGCTTTAATTTGATAGCACTCAGAATTAAGACCTGAGGAAAAAACAGAGGCACTACCAGAAACCAAGCGAGTTACTGGAGGAGCTTTGTTTTTAAATATGTTCTCTGTGTCGCTATAATTGAACACTTCATTATCTGCTTGGCTCTCTCCTTCTTTGTACTTGTCTTTGTTTGGTCATTTCTCAGTTCAGAAGGACAGGGGGAAAAACTGACCTGCCAAATCGCACGTGGATCAATGAAAGTGGACCCACTTTGAAAATTACCAACAGCAGGAAGGCAATCCATTTCTAGATGTGTCTTCTCCAGAATCTCAACTATTTTACCATAACAATCTCCCACAGTGGGAGCGATATTTACAGATGTGTCAACAAGTATAAGTAGAAAGAGCCTAAGCTTTTACTGTAGAACCTTATGATTGATAAATAAGCAGTATAGTCCAGTATGTGTACGCGCACATCCATTTGCAAGGCTCTGCATTTTTTGATGGGGCACATTCACCATTCACACACTGATGGCAGAGGCTTCTAAAGGGCCCAGCCCACAGTACGACTATATTTACGCGCCCTTTGTGTAGCAGCGAGAGCAATCTGGGGTTGAGTATCTTGACACAGGACACTTAGACATGTGACTTTAGCAGCTGGGGATTGACATATACACATTATATATATATATTATTATTATTATCATTATTATAGATAGAATCTGAGCAACCCACTCAGATGTTTGTAGAGGCAAAGTTACAGATCAGGTCATCTCTGCAGGTGATAAAACCACTTAGCACACTGACAGTTATATTGACATCTTTTCACTGAGTATAACTGTGTCAAGCATGTCTGACTACAGTAAAAAGACTATAGGGCACCCTTTGCATTATTTTGGTGTTTCTTACAACCCATGTTGACACTTCTGACTTTGAACAATTCAGAACACTACTCTGTTTTGTGATGCTACTATAAAAAGAAATACTGTACTGCACTGCCTGAGGCAACACAGAGACAGATTTCCCAAACACGTGTTTTGACATCAAGATCTATTATTCAGCAGAAGTGAACGATACAAGAAGCAAAGCAAAAAGACTTTGACGTAGAGGACAGGATGGAAATGAAGTACTATTACATTTTACTGTGATCTACAAGCTAAATATAGCTCGTCTTCCAGGAACAGGACTTCTAGATAGGTTGAGCTTTCATCACTTATTAATCCTGTTAAGTTCCCTCACACCCATATGAAGGGAACAGGGACATCCCACTGAGTAAGTGACAGGGGTAAGGAGATGTTAAAATTAGGAAATGTACGTGTGAAGAGCATGTGGACTGACCTAACTTTGTGATGGGTGTTCTTATATTGTCTGAACTCAGGATAGAGGACACCAATACTAAATACTTCAATCACACATGCAAAAAAAAAACAGAAAACGGCTGAAATTTTCTAAATGAGCTGCATGTGTGAATGTTTCACTACTATTTTACCCAGAATGCTCTCAGCCAGTCCCATGAGACTCATGCGCTCTCCAGACAAAATTAAACTGCTTCATTGTTTTCTGTTTGCCAGAATGTTCTTCTCCACTTGATTTAGCTGACAGGGAATATGTTGAACCACATGCAGCATCGATATATATATATATATATAGGTAAACATTGTGTGTGATTGTAGCATCAAACTCTGTCCACGCTGCTTGTGAGAATTTGTTATTATCCGTCACATATGTAAAAAAAACTAACTTTAACACTAGCTTTAACCTTCAGGAGGAGGATTTCATCAGACCTTGGTGCAGTGTAAACTGAGCTCTCAGTACAATTACAAAACAACCTCTATACTACAAGACGGTCAGTTTGGGAAAAGAATAATGAGAGCAAAAGGGAAATGACAGTTCAAGGACACTTCCACTTTCAGCACAGCCTGCTTGGTGTTGGCCTGCTGCTTCATAGAGAAAGTATCTTGTCATACTACTGGCCCAGGTTTCAGAGGCCTTACGCCCACACCGAGGACCCTGGGGGGACAACAGTATTGATGTGGCGTGTCTGCCTCTCTGTCATCTCCTGTGATGGCCACGGTCCTAACAGCTGACAGGCAAGCGCTTCCATATGGGGATGAGTCATTCCAAAAGTGGGGGAGCTGCTGCCATTTCAGGAAGACACTCTGATAGCAGGTTTGTGTTTGCAATTGGTTTCTTCCCAATGATTACTTTCCCAGAACACTGAGTTTCACTTGGATGAGCTTCAGAGTGATGCTGAACAGTTTATATAAAACCAATAACCAGAATCAGATCATATCCCACAACAACAAAATTAACTCAGCTTGGCTTACGCAAAGAAAAAAAATCCTGTGCCCTCACCGAGACCCTTTGGCGTGATGCCACTGTTGTCTGCAGGGTTGACGGCCCAGTAGTAGTACTTTAGCGTATGCATGAGCTGAAGCACCGTGCCCACTCGGCGAATCGTGTTGTAGATGGTTGCTGTGCCAATGAACTCAGCCGAGAGATAGGTGTACAGAGAGAGCTGTACCTGAGGTGGGAGAAGACACACACATATACAAGTTGTCACATCATTAACTTCACATTTTCATTAATCTCTTGAAGTGTAAACCTTTTTAGTCTGACCAAGACTCTTTGCCGTTGTGGATTGCGTTACATGAGCGTATTATCCTGACAGGTGTTTCGTAGGGATGCTGACTGACCCTATATTACTCAATTTCATAATTGTCCTCGCTACACTCTGCTCAGTGATGATTAGCATGTCCTCTGTAATTAGGAACTGAGCTGACAAGAATCCTTAATCCCACCAGTCGTAGAAGCTATAAATATCGAGAGCTTTTCCCATATGTCATAAATTATAGGATATTAACGACTCACATGTGAGTCATGATGAAAGGGCTGCAGTGTGCTTACGATGTAAGCATGATGTGATATGGTCTTAGGCTACTGAAATTACACACAGGAGATGAGTGAGCAGCTTGTTGTTGGTTACATAATTTTCAGGAAGAACGGGGAAGTGAAATGTGCTCACACAATCTTTTTTGTCTACTAGGACAAGGTCAGTGAGTAATTAATGCATATAGCACACCCCATCTTCCACTCAGCTACTCTCTGTAGTCCCAAACAGCAAACAGGGACAGAGGAAAAGTGGACTTTGAGGCATGCCCTAGGGGACAGAGCCAGCGCAGCTCTTTGTGCAGTTGTAGCTAAAAGTGTGTAACCCACTTCATTACCTCGCTGGGTCTCATTTTTTCTCCCTCTTTCGCTATGCTCTGTTTTAGAGGGGTGTCGCAGGAAAGCCTCCAGACACTTGTATTTATTTCCTTTTTTATTTTTTTTATTTATTCATGGCTTGGCCCACCAGCCGCATTCCTAAGGCAAATGTATTTGCCACACAAACTCAGCTTCTTTGATATAGCTCATCCCATTTTTTCATGGGTCATAATTTAAAAGGAGGGTGGAGAAAAAAAAACTCTGGAACATTTAAAAACTTAAAAACTGTGGTTAGTTTGAGAACAGGACGGAAGTAAGTGATGAAACCTGCAACAATTTTATACATATATAAACAAGTCAGCTGAAACAACATTTATTTGTAAGTAGTTCATTAATAATAATGTCATTTTTCTTCACCTACACAAACTGCTGCCGTGGGGCATGTCACCAAAACTGAACCCAGTGAAACATACATGACAGATATAGTTTCCACATTTATTCACATGCATGTGAGACCACACAGTTACATGTTTCAAAAAATAAAGGATAAAGAAATTCTAGTTTTGCCAGAGTCCGATGAGCATCCACTTCAGCTTGACCGACTGTCCCTTTCACTCAACCTGTAACCCTGCACGAGCTCACCTTAACTGGGGTGTGGATCCAGATAGCAGCATTGAAGAGGATGTGGTCACACAGCTGCTTCAGTAGTGGTGCCCCATGTGACAGGCTGTCCAGATACTTTGCAAAGGAGAGGAACTGCTCTAATACAGCCCTGGTAATGTGTACACGGGATGACTGTGGGAAAGATCACAAAGTTGTTTTAAACAGTAAACACATCACTAAGCCTTTTTCTGCTAAATGCGTGTGTGTATCTCTGTATTTAAGTGTCTGCAGCATGGAGGGCAACACATGATGAGCAATGTGTCTGTGGAATGTCAACCAAAAAAATTAATTACAAGAAGGCACAGAGTTAATTTTATGCTGAAAGATAGCATGAAGGCCTTTTTTTAACTACTGGTACATAATGTAAGCTGTAAAAGTGAGTTGTATCCATGCAGCCTGAATCATGACTCATCATTTTAGCCAAAATGTCTCATTTGAAACTAAACTCTTGATTGTAAATAAGCTCATATAAAAAGCACAAAGGTGCTGAATGTTACTGAATGGATAGTTTAAGAAGATTGTTTTGGGGCTTTTATGAATTTATTTAGAGAAAGGACGGTGGATAGAGGCACATTTTAGGGCAATGGAGATCGGGGAATGACATGCAGGAAGGAGCCACAGGTCGATTACTAACCCGGGCCACCAGCTTGGAGCACAGTAGCCTCCTGACATGGGTCACATGCACTAACCACTAAACTACCAGCGCCCTCCTGAATAGATAGTTTAACCTTTAAGACAAGTGGAAAGGTTTTTCTTTGTGTACTGCTCAATTGTTGCATGCATGTTGTAAACACATTCAAAAGTATTATTCTTTTTCTATAATTATCATTGTCATATTGTAAGGTAGCCAGTGTGTATTTTTTTTAATTATGCTCAGCAGCAGGTGGGTGTGTTGGCAGAATCTATAACTGTGTCTTTTTAGTAATTTCACACGTGGCTCTAAACAAACAAAATAAGAGCAAGTAGCAGAGGCATGACTTTGCAGAGAATTCCTCTTTGACAAATATGTTGAGTGCTCCTGTCTGGCACCTGTTCTCTACCCAGGTGGGGGGATTGGGGACTCGGTGAGGGCAGGAGAGAGGGAAAAATGAAGGCACGCCGAGAAGGGAAGGTGTGGCGTAAACAGATCACGAACAGATGGTGCGATATGTGGAAGTGTGAAACCTGGCAGCGGGAAGGAAACAAGAAAAAAAAACAGCAGCTCTCAGATGCAGACTCTGCCTGGCTGTTAGTTAACAGCAGCTGAAGCCAGCAGGCAGGCAAGACACTGAGTGACAAAGTGGAGTCATTTCTCAGGGCTCCAAAGGAGCCGGCACTCAGGGGAGGCCAGCAAGCTGCTAGATCTGCATCACAAAAAGGCTAAATAGAGATTGATGTGTAAAAAGAAGAAAACAAAGGGGAGAAAGAGCTGGAGATGTAGTCTCTGCGTGTTTTTTGTTATAGTTCTGTTAACTTCAAAGTTCAATTCAGGACTCCAAAGGTTGAGTAATATAAAGTGTCTGAAGTCTGCACTTCAGTATATCCATTTCTATTCATGGTAAATGGACTTGAGCTTGTATAGCACTTTTCTTCTCTTCTGACTACTCAAAGTGTTTTTTCCCTACAGGTCACACCTACCTTTTCACACCTCAAAATTCACACACTGGTGGTAGCATGCATGTGTACTATTTACTATGTGAAATGTCCATCAGTATCAACTAATCCATTCCAAACTCTGAGCTTTCGTTTGAGATACGGCCGACTCTACCACTGAGCCACAGCCTTCATCATCTATTCATCTACTCACTTAAGAAATAAAGATGAGAAGTATAAATTAATCAAATCAGTGCTCAGTTAGAAAAACTGTTGTAGTGATGAGTCCATCTGATCTGACACTATTGATCTACATTTAATTTACTTAAGTTCTTATATGTAGAAGGTTATGAAACTCAGCTCTACTGTACCTTCTCAAGCAGGTATCCGATCACCAGAAAACCCTTCCCTCCCAGCATCTGCTCCTGCATGGCCACAGAGCTCTTGAGCAGCTCAACCAGAAAGGCCAAGAGGGTGGCACTGCAAAACAAGAAGACATAAAGTCTCACTGGTGGATAAAAAACTGCATCTATACACACACATACACACAGGGAGTGGTGAAGGAGTTATTCTATAAACTACAGCAGCATGAGGAGACGGTGGGCAGAGAGATAAAGACAAGGTCATTTTCAAAGGAGCAATCAGCTGGGAACTGTAACTCGCCACTTTCAAACCTCTTCAGCTGAGAAGAAAGGGTCGGCTCTCTGGGCTCTCCAGGGATGGAGAGTGGTCCGGGGGCAGGTTGTAACAGGCTGTTTTTGTTGTTCACGGGGAAAGGCTCCAAGGGGCCAAGGCGCTGCACTGAAGATGATTTTTTTTCTTGTTGCAGGGCTTTTCAGTTGAAGACTTTGGCTGAGCGACAGGGTGCTTGGTGACACTTTTTAATCGGCTTTACCCAACATCCTCTAGTGGCCTCCACTCTAGTGCGACAATCACAAGGACACAACCACTCCTCTCTGCTTGCCCATGGATACTGTACATATGCACAGACATGTATAACATTGAATGTGAAACTTCCTCTCCGAGTTTGAAACTGTTCAAGTCAGTCTGCTTTAACTTCTTCACCTCTCCGGCTTTACCTCAGATCCTTTACTGAAAGCAAACCCAATATTGCAGAGCAGAAGTGACTGGAAATATATCACAGCTGTGTGAAATGTGATATGTGACAGAAATACATATTAGATTATATATTATACATATTTGTTTAAATACTTAATTGAGGAGGATGTTTAGCACAGCCACGGCAGGTCCAGAGGACTTTTGAAGAGTTCATTGTTGACAAAGCTTTGAACTCGCAGGCTCGGCAGGATTTAGAGGAACTCGATCCAAAAGCCAACGCAAGGACAAAGCAAGGGATGGGACAGACTGGCGATGCTCAAGCCAGAGAGAAAGAGGGGCACTGAGCTGAGATGAGAGGAACTACAGAGGCAGAAAGATTTAGGCCTCAGGGGTTTGTGTGCTGCTGTGTGGCCACTCGGGCGCCTATTGAGTCGTACTGCCGTCGTTGAACTGACATGGGATTAGAGCAGAGCTCAGACTCCATCCAGAGGACAGCAGAGTAGCTTTGGACTGACCACATCAGGATGGTGGGGAGGAGCGCGGACTCAACCAGAGAGAAGAGACTGCGTAGAAAAATGGGCTACGGCTTGACCAATGCAGATATTATAAGCATGGATTTGTTCATTACAGGAAACATTTTTATCAATGTCAACTTATGTAAAAAAGACAAAGTACAGAAAAGACTGCAGAAAAATCACTCATTCATAGAAATTAGTATTTCCTAAAGCATTACATTAGCAAACATAGTAAAGCTCAACCAAACAAGATTTAAGTTTATTCAGCAACATGTTCATTCTACTTTAGTTTACAGCCATTTTAGTGGATTTCTTCTGCAAACTTAACACTACCAAAATGCAGAAAATGATTAACAAATCTACAAAATCCTAATGAGAAGACATGCAGTGCATACATGTCGCTATGCCACTTTCTGTATGCTGATAAGGCAAGTGTTTATTTCAACAAAAACAAAGTCATTAGTATTCCACTTCTACTGCAGTCATCAGTCTCTTATGTAAGTGGTCAAAGATTAAAGGCTCAAAGAGCAATCAAATTCATGGAAACCCAAAATCAATCGTATCCATACTTTGTGTACAGCAAGAACCTCTATTTCTAAAAGGTGAAATTCTCTTTTATTACTGTGTTTGTTTTATTTAACCTTTATTTAACCAGGTTGGTCCCATTGAGATTAAAAACCTATTTTCCGAGGGAGACCTGGCCAAGAAGGCAGCAGCAAAAAACACAAAGTTACAGACGGAGACACAAAGGAAGACAAAGCACATTAGCATTTCTATATCTTACCACACAGTAGGTTCCACCTGGCTGTCGTTCAGCTGATGGTAATCCAGCTGAGCGAAGAGCGGGAACAACACCTGGATCCCTCCGATGGAGTGTATGGCACTGTGGATGGAGTGAGTCACAGTAGCTTTTACATCCTGTGAGAAAAACAGAAAACACACTTTTGTCAGAACCTTGTAATATGAGTGCAACAGAAATCAATGTATACATCTGGTATAGTGTACACATGAACTTTTAGTAATGCAGCTGACCTGGAGCATAAGGGCATGTGGCGAGTGCACAAAGATGGAGGCGTTTTCTTTGGGCGAGGACTCCAGGCAGAGCTGAGCATCGGTGGCCTTAGCATTATAGGTGAAGGAGATGGAGCTGGCCAACTTGCCGTCATACAACACCTGCTTGTGATGCTCCGCTAAATGAATGTCGCTCTCTGACTTGAACTTAAATGTGCTCTAGGAAAAAGATGAGAGAGAAAAATAATAAGTGTTTGAGAGATCGGGAGGGTCAGAGGGGTAGACTGAGTTGCTCCGTCCTGTAAATGGTGCTTATCACTACCAGTTAGGTCTTATCTTTTAATTATAACTTGATTAAAAATATCCATCAAAGCATGGAAAAATGACAAGATGTCTTTGAATGAGCAATAACACATTTTCGGAAGGTCAGGATTCATTTATTTACATTAAGGTGATTGCTATATATCAACAGATAAATCACCTTTCTACAGATACAAATCAATGCTTTTAATGATGCAAACCGTTTTTCAACAATCTTTACAATCAGGTATGCCTTGTTTCAGGAGAACTTCTGGTATAAATCAGCAGCTTGGTGTTTAACCGCTTAAGAAGAAACTATAAGGCGCAGGAAAATGACATAAAGGGAGTATCATACATTTCTTATTATGTGACAAAGGATATGTTTTCACTTCAAAATGCTAACTCTTTAGATTAGATTTTAAAAGGATTTATTTATCTCACATCGGGGACAAATGACAAAAAGCACTTATTTTGAAAACGATCTTCAAGTTCTTTTGCAGAGTGAAAACATTACAAAGAACAGGACCTAATGAAAAGGACCAGAGGTGATTGATTCCATACATTCATTCACTCTCAGCTCTCTTGCCCGTTCCTGAGAAATCTAAGCCGAGCACAGTGACTGCTGAGTCAAATTACAAGAGAGAGAGCAAGGAGAGTGTACTATGATTGCACAATATTACCCAGCACACATTAAGATTTTGGCAAATACACAGGTTTCTCTACAGAATAAATCTTTTTTCTATGAAATACAATGTGCATTCTTGAAAGGGGAGCCAGTATGAGAAGAGTTTATCCAGTCTGGCTGAAAACGCAGACAAATAAGGGCTGGCAGTCTACAATTTAGCTTTGCGTTACTGTGTCACTTCACATCCAAAGTAATCAGACTGTGAGTCAGAACATTGTGCAAATACTTGTTGAGAAAACAACAGAACCTCTGTGTTTATTTATTGGATTTATTTGATGAATTTAAGCTCTCCAACTACATATGAGATATAGAGAGGGAGAGAGAGAGAGAGAGAGAGAGAGAGAGAGAGAGAGAGAGAGAGAGAAACTAAAACATCATGGAAAGTATTTTCTTGTGTACACTTTGAATTGTCAGGACTATTTAAAAACTGTCTTTATGATTACAGTGAAAAAATATTCTGAAGCACTTATCTTGTGTTTTGTGTTTTTAATGTTTAAATTGAACATTGAAAAAAGTACAATTCAAAGATGTAAAGACATCTGGGGCCATTTTTTTGTCTGCATGAAAAGAACTGGGGCGTCCTTCAGTAACACATCCATTATGGCTTACATAACAAACAGCCGATCAATAACAAGACTACTGTTCATTTACTCAATCATTTAGCTTTTGACAGATGAGCTGAATTAATTTGTCAATGCGGTGTGAATTGAATCCGCTTAATAAGGAAATCAAGTTGTCTAATCAGCAGGCCTGAATTATTAATGAATGAGAGAAATGGTTTTCCTTCCCTCTCCGACTCATGGACAGCGAGCAGATGGTGACGAGATAAAGAGAGACTGAAAGAGCTCAAGCACCAGCAAGGAAACAACCATCTGGTCCTAAAGAGACTGTGGATAAATACAGTATGTTATGCAACACAAGCAAACAGAGCTCGTGCGCCAGTTGAACAGGCAGCTAAATCTGGGTTTGCTTTCTGTGCAGTTAGGGTGTAGATGGATGAGCCAGGCTGTAAACTAAAATGATTGTACATTTTATTATGTACTGTGTGTGAGAATCATCTTCATTGCATACCTGTGCAAAAGTCAAGTACATTGAAATCAGCCTGTATTAAACAATTAAAAATGTTAAATCCATTTTGTGTCTGATTCTGAAACTGTTTCCCGTGTGTTTAGATTTTCCTTTGAGCAAAGATACTGATTGAAGTTTACGTGTATTTACTGCTGCTGTATCTGTTGCCTGGCAGCATTATTCTGGCAAGAGTTTTTACAGGCGAGCTTGTGAAACTGAGAGGGTTGAGCCACATTTAATGGCCTATCTTCTTCCAGTCAGATGATAAAAAAGGCATGAGAGGTATTCTGCTCATCTGCTCTGATCCAGTCTACAAGAAGCCAGCATGCATCTCATCATGTATTCTCTAACATCCTTCAAAAGTTCCTACTTGTGAAACCCAAGTGAGAGGAAATAACAAGCTTCAGTGGCCTGTACTTTAGTTTGAGTCTCACCGCAGTGTGAAAATAATGATCTCATGGGTTGTGACCACAGTGACAAACTGTGTAGCATGCCAGCATCATTCCACAGGGCAGCCCGTCATGTAAGAGAATTAGAGCACAGCTGCCTTCTTCCTCTCACAGTGCTGAAGGATGTCACTGACCAGGGGCTTCCCCACAACTCCCTCAGAGAAACAGGAAGGAGCTTGACAAGCTAGGGACATCCCTTTGCTGAAGCCTGAACCTGACTACACAATGACACAGCATAGTGTTCAAAGACTGCAAAAAAAGATTTCTAATTATTTGCCTGAGAAAAATAAATTAAAAGTGTGTCAGTATAGTATATCTTTTTATATCCAGAATGTTTGTCATTAAATAAGCAAAAGATTATTTAAAAATCTTGCTTTTGTCCTACTACTGCAATTATTTGTGTGCAATATTCCTCCTTATATAACAAATGTTGGTCTGCCAAAATGAGTATTTTAAGATGAAAACATCATCCAACAAAGTTAAAATGTCTGTTGCGCAGCCTTCATACATTATACAGTGGATACAAAAAGTCTACACACCCCTGTTAAAATGTCAGTTTTTGTGATGTAGAAAAATGAGACCAAGAAAGATCATTTTAAAACTTTTTTCCACCTATAGTGTGACTTATTACCTGTGCAATTCCATTGAAAAAAATCCAGGTTATATAATAAGTCTGTACACACTTGCCATCAATTAAATTGACTGATTAACCGTAAATAAGATTTAGGCTTGTTCTGGTAGGACACTCATGGCATTCACTGAGGTGCATCTTACAGCAAAAGTCATGATTCTGCAAAGATCTTAGCAAAGCACCAGCGGGATCTCATCCTTGAAAGGTATCGATCAGGACAAGGGTACAAAAAAATGTCCTAGGCATTAGCATTACCATGGAATACAGTGAAGACAGCCATCGGCAAGTGAAGAAAATATGGCACCACAGTCACACTACAAAGAACAGGACATCCCTCCAAAATTGATGGAAAGTCATTAAGAAAACGATTCAGGGAGGCTGCCAAGAGGCCAACAGCAACATTAAAGAAGCTGCAGGAATGTTTGGAGAGCACTGGTTGTATTCTACATGTGAAAACAATCTCCCGTATTCTCTATGTGTTGGCTATGGGGTAGGCTGGTAAGACAGAAGCCACTTCTTACAAAAACATCAAAGCCTGCTTCAATTTTGCAAAAACTTTCCTCAAAGCCCCCAAAAAAGCTTGTGGGAAAATTTGATCTGGTCTGATGTGACCAAAGTTGAACTTTTTGGCCATCATTCCAAAAAGGTATGTTTGGTGCAAAAACAACACTGCACATAACCAAAAGAACACCATACCCACGATGAAGCTTGGTGGTGGTAGCATCATGCTTCTGGGCTGTTTTTCTTCAGCTGACACTAGGGATTTAGTTCAGTTAAAGGGAACTATTCACAGTTCAAAATACAATCAATTTTGGTACACAACATTCAGGTGTCTGCTTGAAGGCTGAAGATAAAGTTGAATTTCACATTTCAGTATGACAATGACCCAATCAAAAAAAGAATGGCGGCTTCACCAGAAGAAAATTTAAGTTTTTGAATGGCCTACCAAGAGCCCTGATCTGAATCCTCTTGAAAATCTTTGCGATGACCTGAAGAGGGCTGTGAACAGAAAATGCACTTTTTTTTTTCAATAAAATTGCACAGGTAATAGGTCACATTATAGGTGGAAAAAGTTTTGAAATTATCTTTCTTTGTCTCCTTTTTCTACATCACAAAAACTGACATTTTGAAAAGTGTGTGCAGACTTTTTATATCCCCTGTATACTGTGATAAGACCAAGTAAACAGCTTTGAATGCTCCACTCATTCAGCTGCCTCAAATATAAAGATAGGTTGGTTCACTCCAAACAGCCTCCATTATATTCGACGTTCATGACATCCAATGACTTGGCATGCACTGTTCTACATCGGACATTGATATATTTCATGGCCCAATACTCACAGGTATTTGTTCTATGTAACATGGGGGGGCAAGTGTCTCTCCCCAGTCTTCTCTACAGAAATCTGTGGCACATACTGCAGAGCAGTGTTGGCACTGTCACAACAGGCTAATCTGCATCATGTAGAACACATATGGTAGAGGTAATAGAGGGCAGACACAGATAACTGAGGGCATCATTTGACAAGTCACGGCTTCCCCGTCTTGACGAGTTGTCTCGATGACTAGCACTTTGTGTTCAGTGAAGCTGTCACTGGATATTGCTGTGATGGATATTGCTTTATGACTCCAGACCATGCTATTTCCCAGAGCTGGAGAGGGATAAGCAGTTATCAAAGGGCCCCTTAGTGTGTTTATTCTGGATAACTGTGTTCACTAGTATCCATTGGGAATGATAGTCTTCATGCTGAGCTACATCTCACACCGCTGTGAGGCAATTAATTTTCTCGTATGAATCCTTCAGCCCACAATTTCCTCGACTTTCACCAAAGCTTATGAACTTGGCTAAAACAGAAGCGAGGAGTGACAATGTGATAAGACAGTCAGCTTCTGTCATAATCAGTGTCTGTAAAGACAACACTGTCTCTTGACGTTATCTCAGAATGATTGGGAACGTTTCAAATCATGTTAGAAACAGCAATATACAGCAGAAGTTGTTGAGTCAAGCTCAGTTCAGAGTGCAAATTGGCTTACAGCAAAAAGAAAAGAGCCAAGGGAACCCAATTCAACTTACATGTCTGTAGGATTTACAGCCATTAATCATAAAATGCAGAAGGAATACTAACCCTAGGCAGCAATAATCTCTGCATTTCAAGCAGCCGCAAAAGTTACAGTTCTCTCTGATATATTAAGTGAGCGTGTCAAACATCAAACATGGATGAGAGGACCAGGAATCAGAAAATGATTCATACATCAGCTCAGATGTTTGTTTTTTTCTGTGGCAGTGGAGCTGGAATGAATATATATAATGGTGTAATGTACACGCTGCAGCATATGTGTGCAGTGATTTGCGCCACATTTAGGCCACTAATCCCCTGGACAGACTCCCATCACAACAACCAATCAGTGAGTCTGACAGCTCTCTGACCTTCATCCTCAGCTCACCTGGCTGCCTCTATCACACTCTCCCCATCACCAACAGCCTGCATAGCTTCATCAATTTCTGCTAATTGTCTCCCTGGGACCTGCTCTTCATTATTTTGAGAAACCTGGAGGACTGCTCGTCTGTGTGTTTGCTCTCTAATAGAAGGTCTAGAACCACAATTAAAGAGGTAAACGACAAGTCACCAGCTATTAGCGGAAAGACCAAACAATGAGCTCTCTTAGGAATCTCCAGACACCCATGGACATGATTAAAATCACAAACACTCATGCAACAACCTTTAACAGAGAGAGTTTGACAATGACAAAGCAAAAGATGCCTTTCCTTTCTGCCATAAAAAAAACCTAATTTAATCTTCAAAGCAGCTGGAGAGCAAACAAAGCTAGTGTAAAATGGACAGATATTGTAAAGTGTCTGCGACACATCCTGTGTTCAAAGCTGATTTGACAGTGCGTGTCATTCCTCCATTTGTGACAGAGTGCAGGACTTAAAACTGTGAAGAAGCAACAGCACTTGTGAGAATCAGGAGCAAAAGTGAGGCAGTGAGAGGGAGCGAGAGAGCAGTCTTTGAAACTGAGAATAAACTGATGACACGCCCTTGATCTCATTCAAGATGAGTGGAAAATAGTCTCAAGCAAAGTAAATATAATTTGAATACTAATATAAAATCCAAATATTTTGTCAAAATGTGATTAAAATTCAAGGCTAAATCTCCCTCTGGGAAGGTCAGCATCTTTTTAAATTCACTATCTTCTGGTCTTTGTCAGAGAGCAGGGGAGTGCTCCACCTGCTGCAGCTGATATAAGTCGGCTCAGGACTCTATCCTCTCTGAGCGCCTGCTGCTTCTCTCACTGTATTGTACCGTTATTTGAAAGAAGACGGTAATTTATGCAGCCGTTTATCTGGGAGGAAAAAGCAACGCTCCCTGGACAGAGACATACGGAAAAGAAACTGTGGCAGGACTGTGGCATTGATCTCACAGATGGATAGGTGATGCACACTGCTCACATGTAATCTAATTTAGTCACCCTCAAGTACATACCTTATAGCCCGGTCCTAGCTGATGAATTGCAAATATCTGTGCTGGATTGAGGGCTTCACTGAACACGTAGACACCTCCTAGCTGCCCACAGAATACTCGGTTTGCATCGGCCGTCTCAGAGGAGCCGAGGAAGCATTTATCATAACTCTGCAAGACACGGAGAGAAAAAGCTACATCATCTTAGACTTTCAAACTGCAGAGACTGATCTACATTCATAAAGAGCAAGAAGAAAGAAGAACAACATGATGCACAGATCAGTTTGTTTGTTTTTCTGCAGAGACTTTGTATTTTTGGTGTAACTATCAAAAACATGACCACCTTCTGCGCCGCTCATTCAACCGCGATAAAAACAATAGCCCTGATACACAGTAAAGGAAAAGTTAAAGATAAAGACGACATGTGTTGTGACTGCATTCAGGGTGTAATTGAACTTACAACAGCGGAAGATTCAAAATTACAGAGAAAAAGTCAGTACAAAGTATTGGGGTCATTTTTAATTTGTTCATAGGATAATCAGAATGTTGATGAAGCTTGTTCTTTACTAATCCTATGTATTATTCAGTTTAATCTTCAGTCTCAGGAATTCATTAAAATATGCTAAATTAAATACTGATTAAATGTAGCAAAACATTTTGAACAAAATCCCTCCTAATGCTTAGTACACAGTAACTCAAGGATTGAAAAAGCACCTTAAACGGAAACATTTCTCATGAAAGCCTCAACAGCAGAAAGAGACAGGGTGAAGAGATCAGACATGATGTAGACGATGCCAATGATCCATGTTTTAAAATCCTGTTTTACCTACAACTTTTTATTTTGCACATATCACATTCAGTACATCTCAGCTGTCAGCTCAAAATATTTTCTGTGAAGCCCATTAGCCGTGTTATCATACTCCCTTAAAGCAAACATGTACTACAAGAGACAGCTGCAATAGTTGTTGAAATGATTTAGATCCAGGGGAATGTAAAGCTGCAGGGGTGTACAGTAGAACACAGTATCATGTGGTGTACCTCTGATTTGAAAGAAGCTTTACTATTCCAAACTGTTTCTCCTGCTTTGTCCGTGGTATTACTGCAGGTGTCTTTTTGATGCAGTGGTTCCTGCAGCATCCCTATCAAAATAATTCAACCTTATGGTGTCTGCCTTCATTTAAAGTGTAGGAAGAAACCTCCACAAAAACTATCCATCACAATTAAGGCAGCTTAGGTTAATGTTCTGGAATATTTCATGAGAGGCACTCGTATCTCAGCCTGTCATTTGTCTAATCTTCTCTTCATTTCACAGCTACAGTAACAAAGTAAACACACCTTTCAAATGTGTCTCAAAGATGCAAATTGCTTTTTATAGCAGTCATTTAGAGCCATGTGTGACTCTCTGTTCCATTTGACGGTCATTCAAACATGCAAATATCACACAATCACTCTGTGTTTGCATACATTTCAAACAAGAGTTTTTCAGTCTCATAATACTAACGCTCTGCAAATATAAATGCAGCAGCTACAGAGATTTAGCAATCTTTCACTTAATGCATAAATCTGTTCTCAAAGTGTTTGATACTCCATCTTCCACCCTCTGCTGCAGCACAGCTCTGTGACAAACTGTTATTCAAATAAAGACTGAAATGCCATGTCAGATTTCTGAGAGAGATCGATGATGAGAGGGTAAAACTCATTTTGCTCAATAAGCACACCTCAAGATGTATGCATTTCTTCTTCCTCTCTATTTCCAGCCATGCAAAACATGGACGTGTCTGCCTCAGTCACTTCTGTGCCAATGAACTTCAAAGTCATTGGAAAATGATGACAGCAGTGAGGAGGAGTGAAAGGAAGAGGGCTTACATCATTGGTGTTGACGTGCCATGCCATGTCTCCATATGACACGAGTTGTCCGTTCACGTAACATCTGATTTCACTGTTCCTCCAGCGGCTGTAGATGTTAACGATACTGATCATGTACCACTGCAGGAGAGAAGAGAGTCAGATTTACAAGCTTCAATAAGTGAGAGACAGAGAAAGTTTACTACAAGTTAACTAAAACTACGATGGAGTTTGGTTTATTGAGCAGCGGTGAAGCTCTCAACTTCGTTTCTTTACAGCCCATAAAGTAAGATCAACCTGCAAGCGACTGGAAAGCCACAGCCATGAGGCTACTCTCCATTCTACTTTAAAACCCCAGCGGAGCATGGTGAATAACAAATAAGAGAAAAGGCTAAATGGAGTCAAAAATATATCTGTTTTTCCCTCTGCACAAAAGAGAGCAGAGAGTATCTTCATGTTTTCAATATAGAAACATTTACTGCAGCAATACAAGTGAGATCAAGGTTTAGTAGTGTGTACAAAGATCACATAAATACATCTTTACAAAACACAGACCTTCATAGCACATGTATGTGAATGAAAAAATAAATATGCATGTTATTGTGGTTTCATATTTACTTATATACAAGTTTTAAGGGCCGTCCTTTGTTATATTGTCTACATAGTGTATGTCCTGCTTTGCTCTATTTTTATGTTTTCAATGTTTGTATGTAATTTTCAATTGGGTAAATTGTATTTGCGATAGTAAATATTCTTACTTTGTTATTTTTACTGTATTTTATTTTCGCTTTGTTTAATCTCTTAAGGTGAGGTTTTGAGATAAGTCCTCATGGGTTTCTATCTCACCTGCACATGTGTTTTATTTTTTATTTATTTTTTTCTGTTTGATTCTTCCTTCAAAAAATGTGCAAATAAACTAAACTAAGGGCCGTCCTGTGGGCATGTCCATAAACAGTCACAACATTGAGCTTATTAGAAGTTCTAACTATATAAGCAATAGAAAACACATTTGGTTTGTGTAGTGTTGCTTGTATTTGCTGACGCAGAACCTGTAGATATATTATTTATACACTTCTCTTTGTAGTCGTATTTACTTTCTTGAACTTTTCTGCTGAAGCCGATAAAGCACTGATTTTAGTTCTTTGGATTTAAATCATTGAAGCTTTCTCGTTACTCAGATCCATCTTTTGACTCATATTATCATAAAGTTGAAAAAAAGAGGGATAACATTAGCCACTCATCTCATCTTCAGGACTGGTAATGACCCGGTCCCTGGTTCAGACTGAAACACTTTGAAGTGGAGGCCAAAGTGCTCAACTGCTTCAGACTTGGTTCATGTCATATATGAAGCCATGTATCAATAAACCTTGATATATAAAGATAAAATTACTTTACTTCATTATTACTAGGGCTTGCTGGTTAGGTGCCAGTTCCCTTACCTCCACAAACCCCTAACCTCATGTGCAGCCCCTCACTCTAACTTCCCTCCATTAAAGTATGTCCATAGGACCCTGTTTGTGTTTTACTTGGCCTATGCATACGTGTTGTGTCAAATAACAGATTCAACTGAATATTATAAGTATTTCTTCTTCGTCAAATACAACGGGGATAGGAACGAGTCGGTGCGTGAAGCTACCTGACCTTCAGGAATAAGGAATAAGTTTCGCATTATTTAATTGCTTTTAATCGCAATTCATTAATCACAAAGCCTGTATTTAATTGAACTCTTTTTTTGAACTGCTTGACAGCACTAATAATTACACATGGGACTCTGTAAATTCAAGTTTCTTCGCTTGGGGTGCCGACATCATAGTGGTTAGTGTGCAAGCCCCATGTACCGAGGCGATAGTCCTCCAAGCTGGAGGCCCAGGTTCCAATCCTACCCGTGTCTCCTTTCCCACTCCCTCTCTCTTCCTTATTCCTGACTCTATCCACTGTCCTATCTCTAGAATAAAGGGCACAGAAAGCCTAAAAATTAATCTTAAGAAAGTTTCTCAGCTTGAATTTAACAGTTCCTTTGTTGGAAGTTCCTGTCTGCTGTGTTAACTTGTAAAAAACAATGTTATATTACAGGAGGTCATGTTCAGCCCTACCACACATAGCAGTAGGCAATAGGGTGTCCATCTCTTTGTGACAGTGTGCCCACTGTTTATTAGTTTGACCCGTGAAGGGCACAGTGAGCAGTCTAATGGAATTACAGCCGTCTCCACACACAGGTAAGGACACTTAAGAGTGGATTCATGGCTGAGGGGAAGAGTGCAAGCCGTCCGCAGATAATTTAAAGCGGCACTTATCCGCAGATGTCTGGACCCAAAATCAATTAAAAACTTAATTCAACTTGTTTTATCTTCTAAGAGCTTCGAGAGAACAATCTCTGCGCTGCGGCAGAAGGAACGGGATGAATGGCTGTTCCCAGGTGTTACTTGGAGACTCTAATTGTTTGACACGTGCTTTGAGACGTTTCTTTGTCACTGCAGGGACATCAACACTACGCTGACATTTCACACTAAATTAGGTTTCATCTTCTCATCTACATTTACTTCTAATTACACCTGTAGGACTCTTCTGGGGGGGGGGGTCTTAAACACTCCAGGTCTTTAGACATACTACTCTAAAATACCATTAAAAGAACAGGTGGTTGTGGGAATCTGGGGTAAATAAAACCAAACTGCAGGGTGTTATAAAGACAAAAGCGTAATAATGGTTCATTTTAAATCAAACCAAAAGCCTGGACTGTTGTCTTGGCTCAAGCACCGATGGTGCACAATAGTTATATTTGATGGTGGTTTTAAAGCAATGCAGGTTATTTGTTATATTTGAAAATGACATCTGTTCTCAATGTCTAAAAACATTCATTTCAGCTGGAATAACATGAAGACCTCTTCCATGTCATAATCACATCAAGCATAATCAAATGTTTAAAATATATGATAAAAAAAAAAATCAAAGCTTACCTTCCTTGGTTGGAAATCATACTTCACACAGTGCTGGAATCCTTTTCCTTTAGACTTGAGTGATGTCACGATCAAACAGTTACCGACAAAATGTGCAGAGTAGCCAATGCCCTTGCTGGTACGAAAGCTGGTAACGGAAACATGCACATTATATATCCTGAGCTGCAAACATGGCAGGGTGAACTCTTTCATCAACAAGCATGAAGAAAATACATTTTAAACCAACAGAGATGGAGGGTTTCTGCAGTTTCATTTGGCCTTTAAGTTATCATTTGGCTACTTCCTCCTTCACACCAGTAATTTAAGTGACACTGGCTTCCTGCTGTATAATAAGATTGGGGTCAACATAGTTTTTAAATGCCTTGTGCTATGCAGACACAAAGCAATTTGCAGAAGTAATTGACAGGTAATTCTAGAAATTCTTAAGAGAATTGTGATATAATGCTTATCCATTCAGCACAGGGTGACAGCTACTGCAGATTTTGCAGGATTGGTAACAACTCCCAGGATCTAATCCCTGCACTCAGACTCTTGACTCCACAGTGACACAATATAATGTCAGCAGTGTATGAAATGCCACCTTTATACAATATGAGCAGCCCCTACGCAAACGGCCTTTCTGTGTAACACTTCTCCTTTATTCTTTCTCTGCACATCTTTTTCACTGCTGACACGTACTCACTACATAATTGTCTTCAGGTCTGTACCATCTTCAAACCCCCATACCAACCCCACCCACTGAGACCATCTAACTGATCTCTTTGTCAAGGCAGATAAAGATAGCCTGGGATTTCATACTGTGGAGTGCATGCAGGGACAGAGAGATATGGAGCCCTGCGCCGAGCTGAGCCGGCCAAGACGCTCCAGTGGACAGGTCTGCTTGTGATTTCACATCAGGTGGAAAGCAGCAACCTTGGTCTGCTTCTGAAGACACAATCCTTTTTGTTGTCTACATGCCCTGCCACCGAGCTATGAGGCCCTCAGAGCGACACATAAACAGGATTAGCTTGGCATATCTCAGCCTTTTTGTGACTCTGTCAGAGGAATCACTGCCACATGAATACCAACAACTTAGCTCAGCCAATATTTCTTCTTTTCCTGTTTTTGATGTTGCACATCAGAGAAACAGAACAAGTCCTTCCAAAATGAGAGGGTGCTTTCACTCACACTGTGTGATCCAGGTAGAGGAATGGCAGCATGCAGACGATGCAGTAAAATGACTGTTATCTCTGACCGAATAGAGCAAACAGTCTTTTCTCATCAGCCAGCTCTACTGTTTTATCTGAGTAATCCATTTTCTCTTTCATTCTCTACTACAATTCTTTATATGTTCCATTTTATCCATCAGCGATTTTGCTCCAAAAGCAAATCAGATAAACAAAAGAAACCCGCAGCTGAACATCATTGGGTTATTGATTTGAGAACTAATTACCCACAAGCCTCAGCAAGAGCTGGTATGTGGCAGGTATTCAAATCCAAAAGAACACTCCACAGTGTAACACTCGGTACCAGTCGCTGTGGTTCATGCTTTCATGGCTTCTTCATCTCAATTATCTCACCTAATTCCCTGCTCTATTAGAATTCATGAAAAAGATCTGGAACAAATAAGGCCCTCTCTCAAACTCTGTCATGGAAGTGTGTGAGAAATCGTATCTGTAAAACTAGTTTAACGTTGAAAAACAAGTTGTGGTCGTAATCTGCTTAAAGGAGAAAATCACTGCAGTTCACTGAGCATCAACAGCATACTTTTTAAGAAATAAAGCTGCTGCTAGATTTTCAGGTCCCTGCCGAGTGAGAATGTTTTCAAAAACAAAGCTAAAGAAATTAGATTGAAGAAAACAAGGAGACCTACATTTTCTTCTCTCCGGTTTCAAAAAGTCGCCGTGCAACACATGCAAATATGAAGAGAATATTCACGACAGTGTACTCACCAATACAGATATGGTTTGTCCTTGTCAACATTGATATTATTCAAAGGATCCATTCTGAACCAGGTGTTGAATGTAAACCCATTCTGATAAGGCCACTTGGCAATAGGAGGTAAAGCAATGGCCTGGGAAAAACAACAAATAACAGATATTAGACATCCTGATGCAGAAGGACAATTGTTTGTTTTAAATTCTGTTTCAGTGTCTCGACTAGAATACGCTCAAGTTTAGGCTGCAATAAGTTTTAAGGGTACTATTTTTACTGTTATCTGAAATACCAAACTTTTTCATGCAACCTGTCAACCTTATTCTTAAAATTAACATTAAAGAGCATTCATATAATCTTTACTTAGGCCACACTAACGAGCAAGTTCTAATCTAAAGAGCATCAGAAATTAATAACACTCAGGAAATTGCAACTAAAGGTTACATCCACAATGTGTGTGGCCAACTGATGGCATCAGAAGTCTTACTCATGCTGAATATTTAAGATGGAAATAAACCCAGTCATGATTTTCACTGCCGTTTGCTTTTGGGTAAATATGCTATTAATCTCTAAGATTCTGGAGAGAATGTTTGAAAACAGCTTTAACCATCTGTGAAAAATTACCTTGAATTTAATTACTGTGATGACTCATGACTTTAACTCATGTACTTTTGGTGTGAGGCAAAAATATGCAAAGGTAACAAACCGCATCCTCCACTGCTCCTATATGTCAGCTCCAAAATTAATGTATCGCTAAATCTAAATGATGCATCTTATTTAGTCACAGTGAGGTCTCAATCTGTTCTGGGTTACCTACATTATACACTTTGTATTTATATACAGTATCAGTGGAGCTGTTGTCATCTATTTGTGAGGGCCAGCTCACATCTGTATACTTACTATATGAGACCATAAACTAAGGATTAATGAAGCATGTCAGCTTTGAATGGGTTCATTAAAAGGAAATGATATTGCACCATCACAATTACATTTTGACTAATTGAAGATATATAACTTTGTGAACTCAATAGGAATCCAAACATTGATTTTCTTTTTGGTGGTTAAGGATCTTTGATATCCACTGCTGTACAGTATAAAATATGTTCATTTTTGTGCATGAATGGTCTGTTTGTGAAATCTTACTGCTGCACTGCGACCCGGAAAGTTGAAGAAGGCATCAGGTCCGTGTCTCTGGGGCATCTGATTCAGCACAGACAACATTTTGACCGCATGCCTCGGCTGCACAGGTGATAAAAAAGAGTAATAAGAGAGTCAAGGTTTTCTCCCCGACTGTTTGGACTACAGTCATTACACTGTCAGTTATCTCATTCTGCACTTAATCAACTACACAACAAGCCACAGACAGATCAGTGAGATGGCTCCCTGAGGGCAACCTTTGTGACCGAAACCCACAAAACACACACTGCTGCCCCTGTTATCACTTACCCACAGACCTCCTTCCCCTCGCAGCATGCTGAAGAGCAACTTCAGCTCCTTCACTGTGATGCTGTAGCTGGCCAATACGCCCAACATGTCCACGAGCAAGTCTGTAAAGGCAGACAGAATGCAGGCATCACTAGGCATACACGTGTGTATACAAGAGGAGAAACAGGAGAGATAGACGAGACAATCCCCATAAACTGCATTTCACAGATACTATATTTATTATCATTTCATTCTACGGTTCAAAGTTTTCAAGGTCGTCATCTCCTAAGATAATAAACATTTTAGTTGCAGTTTAGCTGATTCTCACAGAGTCCCTTGTCTGTGATTTTTCCATCATATTCACACAGTAACTGTTCCACTGCAGTGATTCAGTGGAAACTGAATCAGAGCCAATTCTAAATAGTGAATTGTTTAATTAAGAGGCAGAGTGACACTGCTGAATCCTTATTCATATGAAGTTGTGCAAGGTATAGATGTCATTTCGACATGGCAGGATCTAGAATGAGTCATTTCTAAGAGAGCCACAAAGCATCATGAATATGTATTTGAGGGGCTTTACTCCAGGAATCCCTTTATGAATTAAACCGCACCCTTCTTTTTACATGCTTGTAAAAACTTTTTTTCCCAATATGTCTCCAATACTTTACATGTAGTCTGACAAATGTTAAACTTTTATAAATGAATGAAGCTTAAATTTGATGCACTGTATGCTAGATCCCTGAAGAGTGGTTCTTGTACTTTAACAAAGTGTTTTTTCATCCTAAATCACTTTTACTTTATCGCTCTTCCGTAACCAAAAATGCAGATCTATTAAATGATAAAGACAGATCTCCTGACTGAAAGCTGAATCCAAGAAGGTGTGTAACCAGTCTTTGAGCTCTCTCTGAACTTCAACATAATTGACATGCATCTGAAAATGAACATACATACTCCACCATGAGTACTGAGAAAACACACATCTCCTACCTGCAATCATGTCCTCCACTGAGCTCATTTTGAGCAGCACCTGCTGGATGAGGCCCACCTCAGTGCTCGTTTGCAGGTTTCGCACACTTTTTCGAAGGATGGCGGTAAACATGCTCCAGATTTCAGCCTGGCAGGTGACGTCACAGTGCTCCAGCAGCTCCACCATGCAGCCGATGCTTTCGGCATCCTGGATAATGAAGTTGGTCTCTAGATCAAACTCACCGCCCACCAACTGCAGAAAAGAGGGGGCAGAGAGGGAATGTAAGAACAGGATTGCATTTTTATGCTTTTCAAATGTTGTTTAAATGATATTTTGTGTGCTGTTGATGCAGTGCTCCAGCACAGAGCAACACGTATTAAACCCAACGTTCACACTGAGAATTGCTGACCCAGCTCTCACCCCTGCTCTTGATCAGGTCTTTCCTCTGAGGCGAAATTAACCAAGACCCTTCACATATTTTCTGGGTCACTACTCTGATGGTAAAGGGCTGGCCAGCAGTGGAAGAAGAAAGTGGAGCTCTATTTCCCTTGAAAAGGTTTTGATCAGAATTTAAGCACCCATGAAAATAAAATGGCCTGGCATTTAATGAAAAGGGAAGGGGGTTAGGAGTCCCTATCGCCCAGCTGCCCCTTTTGAGACACAAATGATAATCACTATTAAGAAAGTAGAAAACAACAATCAATAATGCAGTTCTTGGAGTTCATCGAGCATGAAATTAGCCCTTTAAAGCAGTGCACGTTGGAGGTGAAGCACTGACAACTTGGTGGTGGGCATCAAAGCAAGCAGGTGGAAAATGGGCCTTGATACCCACCGTACATTATTGTGATTGACGGGTATTAGCTAAGTGAGATGAGAAACAGTAAAGTAGAAGATTAAGAAGAAGAAGAGCGTGTGGAGGTATATACTGAGCCTCACTTCAATCATGATCAGGTCTTGGTAAAAGTGCATTACACTGATGTGTTCCATCATGTGCCGGTTTGGACTTTAAGACTGGGGAGAAGATGTTCACAGAGTGCAGTTATGTGAGCTTATGCTTTGTTTCACCATAACACACAACAATGTGTCTTAAAGAAGTGCAGGCGTGTTAAAGTCTCAACATTCAACAAATGTTTAGATCCACTATAAGTGACTGAATGGATTTTAAAAGGATCTCAGCAACCTAGAAGGAAATTAAATCAGAAGAAAACAACATTGATATTCATCTTAAAACACACGCACTTTATCAATGAGCGCACAGAGCAGTCAGGCGTCATCAATAACAGGAAAGTCACAACTTGAAAACTCACAGGTTGGGGTTAATACTTCGTCTGAGCTGACTGTGCTGACCCAAAAGCGCAGACACCTAGAATCGAGCTGAACAAGCTGCAACACGTCTGCTCTCTAAATATAGTCATAATATTCACTGGTATGGAAAATTGGTGAAACTAGTGGAAAGCTCATAATGGAGATGCAGACAATCCTCAGTGCTAAACTGCCCACTCTTCCCACCTCTGCCTGATGCCACAGAGCACGCTGCTGCAGAGAGCCAAACACAGAATCCAAATACAATACAGCTACATTCTGCTGCTTTCTTCTGCTGTCTGGTCTTACATGCTGCATCTGGCCATGACTAATTAGGTAGTGAGTAGAACATTTTTGCAGGACAGAAAGTCCTCCAGTCAGCTATACATAAATGTATTTGCACACACACATTCAAATCAGGCAGATCTCACAAATTGGCAAAACATACTTGAAACAATCAAATAATGTCTGAGGGCTGTAAAAATCACACTTATTCACATCTTTATTATGGTAGGGATTCAGGAATCACATGAACAGTCAAACATTGTTGCAAGTGAGTAAAAAAAACCTAACAACAGTCTTTACACCTCTGTAAGGTTTCCTTCTGCTTTCAGATCACTCATGAATCAAAGGTGCAAAGATGAATAACTTGAGCTGCCTCAGCAGATCAATGAAAAGCAAGAAGAGAAAAGGTTGTTTTTTTTATGTTGAGTTTAATGTCACGACCCTGAAGGAGCTGTTGTGGACGGACAAATGTGCTGCTTTTATGAACTGCCTTGTGTTTTCCCACCGTGTGTTTCTGTGGTTCTTATTTTTGTGACAAAGCATACCAATACATCAACTGATAATGAAGAGACTGCATCGACCCGGTGCCTGTCAATGGTTGTTTGTTTGGAAGTTATAATCATCCAGCTCTGGTGTTGCAGCCATCGTAACACATATCCTCCAATATAACATCCTGAAGAGGAACGGAGCCATGCGGTCTAGACTAAACCTTTTAAGTCTTCACTCCTGTTACCATTAATCAAACTATTCACCGACACGACACGATCCTGAGAAGTGGTGTAATTGCAGATTGAGATGCTCAGAATAATTTTCACCCATCATGCCACAAGAGAAAAATAAAGACGTGAAATCAGTGATTACACACTTCAACACGTAGAGCAGTTTCTCTGAGCCAGAATCAGAAATCAATGCAGAGCCTGAATACCACTTAAGCTCAGAGAAGTAAACCCCTTAATCAATGTTAAGAAGTAAATGACCAAATTCTTTTTAAACATGGGAAACTGCTGAAGACTGCTCACGATTTAACAACAGTAAAACATAGCTACTCAGTAAAATGTCAAAGTAAATACTGAGCACTCCACCTACATAACCCATAAGCAGAACACTCTGATCACATACAGTTGATTCACTACTGTGGTTGCATTAAAGACTTACAGTTTAACTACAGTATATAAAGGGGGCTGGGGGGGTGAGCGGTTATTCAGATGATATTTACAACACACTTGGTGGAGATCTTTAGATCTTTGATGCATATCAAACCACTCTCTCCTTCATTTTCTGTTTACTGTGATGTATCTGATTTAAAAAAAAAAGGCAAATATGAGCTTAAAGTTTTAGAAAAGGGAAATACTACATCTTAATGTACACTCACTGGGCACTTGATGCAGTACCTCTTTACACTACTGCAACCAATCAATGAAATGCTTTGCCATAACAAACGCACAAACATCAGAATGTTTTGGTTGTCTGTAAATTAATGATGTACCAGACTTCATATTTAAGAGTGCCACATGAAATAAAGTATGATTTTCCTTTCAATTACTTTTTTAATTTTCTTTCATTTGAGATTTAGCTGAACCAACAGCACAAAAAATACTCATTGACTTGAAATGCTAAAATCTGCTAAACCAAAACTTCTAAAAGAAAGGTCCAAATAACCCTACTCTAACTTTTTAGATAATCATGTTAAAGCAAAAATCTGGGAATCAGTTTCAAATATTGTTTGATGGACTGGAACTGTTTGTTGAGGTTCATTAGGACCAAACAGCGTCTTTAACAGAGCTTCACAGTTCCTCTGCAGAGATGAAGAACCTGTCAGAGAAAGGTGAGAGACAACAATCTCTGTAACAGCCCATTAATTAGGACCCTGCACTTCAAATTAAAGACATAAGCAGCCTGCCTGGAGTTGACTTAATGAGAGTAAACATGCAAAATCAAATGGATTTATGGAAGAGAAGTTGTCTAGTTAGAAAAAAGGGGGAATGATGGCCTGAGTGCTGTGTGGCAAACCAAGCGGCAGTAACCAGCTACGACTCATCACTTGAACAACACTGTTAATTAAGATGTTGATGGCGGTAGAATTTCAGCTTAAAAGAGATCTTCAAATGCCTTCAGAATGGGTTGAAGAAGAGCACCAGCTGGTTGGAACCTCTTACAAAACACACATGTGACGGTTCCTCTGACTGTACTTGGCAACTCTGTAGAGGATCTTCACATGTTGGAGAATAAAGGTATGCTATAGATGGTTAAAAGCATCCAGGACATGATGATGTAACTGTTGAAAATGTGTCCATTCCAAAGCAAGATTCTGAGTGTCTAAGTAAAGACATCTCTGTGTCACATTCACTACATTTGTTTACTTTGTTAACTTTATTCATTACATAAAGATGTTGTATGTGAAATTTCCCAAGGTATTCATTTTAACTATCTCCTGAACCAAATCATGCTGAATGCAATTCAGAGGCATTTCAATTTACAGCCCTGTCCATGTATGATGAGCATCAATGGGAAAGCCAGCCATCTGAGAAAAAGTAATTGTAGCCAGTAATACATTATCATATTGTCGAGGCTAAGATATAACATGCATGTAAATTTGGACTCAGAATTAAATGATTCCGTTTCTCTGACTCCCTGCCGTCTCTCCAGGACTTATCTAAAACACTGCAAACAGCAGGAAACACCGACACTGAAAGAATGTGACTGTGTTCTCATTTATTTTACGCCTATCTCTGACTTCTACCCCTGATGCTTTTCAATGATAGATACTGCTAGACTTGGTCTGTTTACCACAGTTAAACCCAGACGCAGCTCAGTGTGCTGCTGAGACTGAGCTCCTGTGCTAAATCCTTTCTCACTGAGACTCAGAGATGATAGCACTATCAGTAATCTGCGAGCACAAGAAATCCCTGCTTTGGGGAAGACAAACGTGTCATAACTTCTGATGCACGAGACACTAAACGTTCATTTAACAATACCGCAGTATACTCTCTGCTCGGTTACTGTGAATTATTCCTTTTATTTGTTTAACTCCCTGTATACCTACATTCCCCTTGGTTTTTGAACAAATAAATAGATGAAAGCCTTTTTTTCTTTTTTTTTAACCAATCTCAATTAGCCATTTCAAAACGGTATCAAGATTACCCACCACACATACATAAGAACGAGGTAACAAAGAAAAAAGTATAACAGTATGTTAAATCAGCACGTCCTTGGAGATTTTAACTTTAACTGAAAAAATTGTAAATTCAGTTGCAATTTATCATAGCAGGTTTTCTCTTGCCATTTGGACACCATGTTGCTATGAATCTGCCAGTCAGTCTGTGCTGTTCACAGATGCCATATGATGCAATGATAGCAAGCCTTGCTTCATTTTCGGAAGTAAATACTGCAGAGCATGATGTATGACAGACAAACCTATGACAATGACTTTAAGTTAGGTTCATTTATACATTTTAAAAAGCCTTTCAGCCTCATCTGTTGCTGATTCCATAACTTGTTTTATATGTCAAATCTTAAATGTCTGCATTTTATTTGGATGGATCAACTTTTGATCAGGTATTTATTTATATATATATACACATGCATATATACAATGACAGTCAGTTTAAGCTAAGTATATTAGATGTGATAAACAGCAAATCATACCACGTCAGATTCTACTTTCT